ATTTACATCCATGAAAGATCCTCTGAACCGTTCTTTGTCTCACCCTTCACCTAAGACCAATTTGTCATGTACCGGTAATTAGCAGTACAGCTAAATTCTCTGTTTTCTCACCATCTGAGTTGGTCAGTAGGGTAGAAGTGAGAGGGAATGATGTCTCTGTATCTGGATGAAGGTATTGTTAGAGTAACTGGTTGTGGAATTGGAATCATATTATTTTGCATGGCTTCTGATATTTTGGCATAAGTTTAAATGTCATTAATCATAAATCATTAGCTTCATAAAATATTAGATTTGCAAAATTATTAAACATTGTGAATTTATTTATATTTTTACATAACATTAATGTAACATTTTGTATAATCACATCAGTTTTATGTGCCAAATTCCAAAGCAAGAAGGTGAATGACTTCCACTGAGTAAAGTTGGGTTAATAATCAGCAAGTTACTGTAAATGTGTACATCATCTCCATGGTCACGAATACAATCAGTGATAAATGTTTTATCACATAAAGAAGCAGCCTATAAGAATCAGCTGTGATAACATCTCTGAGACTAAATGGGAGCGGGAGGGATGTAAAGAACCACTGGAGTGGAGCAAAGCTGGACTAACCAAACCGTTTAGAGGCGAGCTCTGACATAAACAAGGTTTTATTTACTCAGAGGAGAAGTAATGCTGACACGTTGGTCTCTGCTCTTGTAGTGAATTAAATTACATGTTATTTAATAAGCTATAAGGTGTCGGATTCCAAAGGAAATATGAAATCCACCTTATGGAATGTGAGGTTATTTTAAACCAGAAGATTGAAACTTTTTAATGCAGGAATTAGATAACAGCTTCGTATTCACTCAGAGACAACAGAAGAGAGAGTGTCAAGTTTAAAAGTTAAGAATTTTATTACTAACAAATTAAACTAGACGGACTTTAAACACTACATGTATGGTGTAACTAAGGTGGATGAGACGGTGAATGGGATGACGTGTGATGTTGGTCAGAACCAGCAAATCAGAGGAAGCGATTAGTTCTGATGGGAACTGAAGGTGATGTCTTCGCGTTAAGCTTTGATTAGGAGATTTATAAACACATTCAACGCCATTTGCCGGTCTACCTACCCATGGTGGAAGCCCCCGTTAGATCAGGAATGTCGAGGTCCAGCTTGACCTTTTCTGAACCGCAGCCGGTAGGAAAAGCAGCGATTGCCGACCAGACCTGTCTGTGAGATACTCCTGGGTCACAACAATTGTATTGGCGTCTGGTGAGACCCGAGCCTGGGTCTTGATGGTTCAGCTTTTATTCTGAAAGGAACCGATGCAGCAGTTTGGAACAGCAATGAATTTTCCAGCTTGTCGTTGGTTCTTTTGGTTAAAGAGGAGAGTTACGGATTGGCCACTCCGACACTTTCTCTGGAACGCTTTGAACTGGCGTTAGAGATGGCGTGGCATAGTTTTATACTTCGGATGTTATGGTTTATGGTCGAATGAAAAGTTGACAGAGTTACCAAACACCATCAAAACCATGCCTTCGTCAGATCTGTCAGATTCTGATTGGATCAGTGAAAGTAATGTGTTATGTCTTAACTCTACGTGAATGGTCCTGTCGGAACATTTAAAGACATAGTACCTTTATATTCTATAGGATTATAATAAAGTAATTAATATTTTGATTTCACAGATCGGTCACATCTTATTTATTGACTAACACTTTGTTTGGATTAGCTTTATTAAAATAGAGTTCTTTGATTAATTAAAAGAAAAGAGTTCATTCTTCATTCTTCTGTTGAGCTGAAAATAAGCAGGTTAAAAGCAAATGCATGTGACCTTGAGACCATATCCCATGCAGACTAGTCCTGTGTCAGAGGAGGGGGAAAACAGTAATTTCATTCTGTTACAACAGTCCATCCCCAGGTCTCCCGGCTCTGGTTCCTCCTCAGAATGCGCGTAGGTGGGATTGAGGAGCTCCTCAAAGTATTCCTTCCACCGTCCGACTATAGCCCTAGTTGACGTCAGCAGCTCCCCATCCCCGCTGTAAACAGTGTGAGCGAGTTACTGCCTTCCTCTCCTGAAGCGCCGGACAGTTTGCCAGAGCCTCTTTGGAGCCGATCGATAGTCTTTCTCCATGGCCTCACCAAACTCCTACCACGCCCGAGATTTTGCCTCGGCAACTGCCACTGCTGCACCCTGCTTGGCTATCCGGTACCTGTCTGCTGCCTCCGGAGACCCACAGACCAGCCACGCCCTGTAGGCCTCCTTCTTCAGCCTGACGGCTCCCCTAACCTCTGGTGTCCACCAGCGGGTACGGGGGTTGCCACCACGACTGGCACCGGCCACCTTGCGACCACAGCTAGCAACAGCCGCCTCAACAATTGCAGAGTGGAACAAGGCCCACTCGGAGTCGATGTCCCCCACTGCTCTCAGGACATAGTCAAAGCTCTGCCGGAGGTGGGAGTTGAAGACCGTCTTGATAGGTTCTTCTGCCAGGTGTTCCCAGCAGACCCTCTCTATGCGTTTGGGTCTGCCAGGTCTACGTTGCATCTTCCCCTGCCATCTGATCCAACTCACCACCAGGTGGTGATCAGTTGACTGCTCCACTCCTCTCTTCACTCGAGTGTCCAAAACACATGGCCGCAGGTCAGATGATACGACTACAAAGTCTATCATCGACCTGTGACCTAGGCTGCCCTGGTACCAAGTGTACGGATGGGCATCCTTATGTTCGAACATGGTGTTCATTATGGCCAAACTGCGGCTTGCACAGAAGTCCAATAACGAAACACCACTCAAGTTCAGATCAGGCGGGCCGTTCCTCCCAATCACACCCCTCCAGGTCAAGCTGTCATTGCCTATGTGAGCATTGAATTCCCCCAGCAGGACAATGGAGTCCCCTGATGGAGCACTATCTAGTACTCGTCCCAGAGACTCCAAAAATGGTGGGTACTCTGAACTGATATTTGGCCAATAAACACAAACAACAGTCAGGACCCATTCCTCGACCCGAAGGCGCAGGGAAGCTACCCTCTCGTCCCCCGGGGTAAACCCCAACACACAGGCAGAGAGTCTTGGGGCTAACAAAAAGCCAACCCCAGCCCTCCGCCTCTCACCCAGAGCAACTCCAGCAAAGGAGAGTGTCCACCCAATCTCAAGGACTTGAGTTCCAGAGCCAATGCTATGTGTCGTGGTGAGTCCGACTATATCTAGCCGGTACCGCTCAACCTTTGCCACAAGCTCCTGCTCCTTCCCCGCCAGCGAGGTGATGTTCCATGTCCCAAAAACCAGTTTCCTTGTCCGGGGATCAGACTGCCAAGGCTCCCGCCTTGGTCTGCCACCCAATCCACATTGCACCGGACCCTTCATGTTCCTCCTGCGGGTGGTGGGTCCACAGTTGGATTAACCTATGTATCCGGTTCGGGCTGGGCCCGGCCGGACTCCATGGGCGAAAGCCTGGCCACCCCCGACCCGAAGGCGCAGGGAAGCTACCCTCTCGACCCCAGGGTAAACCCCAACACACAGGCAGAGAGTCTTGGGGCTAACAAAAACCAACCCCAGCCCTCCGCCTCTCAACTGGAGTAACTCCAGCAAAGGAGAGTGTCCAACCCCTCTCAAGGACTTGAGTTCCAGAGCCAATGCTATGTGTCGAGGTGAGTCCGACTATATCTAGCCGGTACCGCTCAACCATTGCCACAAGCTCCTGCTCCTTCCTCGCCAGCGAGGTGATGTTCCATGTCCGAAAAACCAGTTTCCTTGTCCGGGAATCAGACCTCCAAGGCTCCCGCCTTGGTCTGCCACCCAATCCACATTGCGCCGGACCCTTCATGTTCCTCCTGCGGGTGGTGGGTCCACAGTTGGATGAACCCATGTGTCCGGTTCGGGCTGGGCCCGGCCGGACTCCATGGGCGAAAGCCCGGCCACCCCCGACACGAAGGCGCAGGGAAGCTACCCTCTCGTCCCCCAGGGTAAACCTCAACACACAGGCAGAGAGTCTTGGGGCTAACAAAAACCAACCCCAGCCCTCCGCCTCTCAACTGGAGTAACTCCAGCAAAGGAGAGTGTCCAACCCCTCTCAAGGACTTGAGTTCCAGAGCCAATGCTATGTGTCGAGGTGAGTCCGACTATATCTAGCCGGTATTGCTCAACCTCTGCCACAAGCTCCTGCTCCTGCTCCTGCTTCTTCCCCGCCAGCGAGGTGACGTTCCATGTCCCAGAAACCAGTTTCCTTGTCCGGGGATCGGACCGCCAAGGCTCCCGCCTTGGTCTGCCACCCGATCCACATTGCACCGGACCCTTCATGTTCCTCCTGCGGGTGGTGGGTCCACAGTTGGATGAGCCCATGAATCCGGTTCGGGCTGGGCGAAAGCCCGGCCACCAGGCGCTCGCTCACAGGCCCCAACCCCAGGCCTGGCTCCAGGGTGGGACCCCGGTAACCCTCCGAGCCGGGTAATCCGACTCTTTGAATTTACATCCACGAAAGATCCTCTGAACCGTTCTTTGTCTCACCCTTCACCTAAGACCAATTTGTCATGTACCGGTAATTAGCAGTACAGCTAAATTCTCCATTTTCTCACCATCCGAGTTGGTCAGTAGGGTAGAAGTGAGAGGGAATGATGTCTCTGTATCTGGATGAAGGTATTGTTGGAGTAACTGGTTGTGGAATTGGAATCATATTATTTTGCATGGCTTCTGATATTTTGGCATAAGTTTAAATGTCATTAATCATAAATCATTAGCTTCATAAAATATTAGATTTGCAAAATGATTAAACATTGTGAATTTATTTATATTTTTACATAACATTAATGTAACATTTTGTATAATCACATCAGTTTTATGTGCCAAATTCCAAAGCAAGAAGGTGAATGACTTCCACTGAGTAAAGTTGGGTTAATAATCAGCAAGTTACTGTAAATGTGTGCATCATCTCCATGGTCACGAATACAATCAGTGATAAATGTTTTATCACATAAAGAAGCAGCCTATAAGAATCAGCTGTGATAACATCTCTGAGACAAAATGGGAGTGGGAGGGATGTAAAGAACCACTGGAGTGGAGCAAAGCTGGACTAACCAAACCGTTTAGAGGCGAGCTCCAACATAAACAAGGTTTAAATTACTCAGAGGAGAAGTGATGCTGACACGATGGTCTCTGCTCTCAAGGTTTAGGAGTTCAGGATGGGAGAAGCTGAGGACAGTGTTGCTGTGGTGGGAATCGGGTGCAACTTCCCAGGAGGTGAGAAGAAAAAAAAACATGTGAAACTAAATCTATGGCAGACTTAGAGGGACTTTTATATTTTAAAAAATCTATTATTAATATAAAATAAATATATTTAGGTTCAACATTTTACCAGCATGTTTGTACTTATATAATGTCAGATATAAAACCAATAAATACCCAACTACAGCTAATAAATGCACACAGACATTTTTACAGACAGAAATATCTTTTTAAATGTGCACATTTTTGTATTAAACTGCAAAATCATTTAGATTTCAAAATAAACTAATCAAATGAAATAAAAACCGAAAAGTAACCAGTAACAGAATGCAGTTCTTTTTATCTTTTGTTCTTTCTTTAAATTAACTTTTGATTTCATTATAATCTGCCATCTGATTCAACTGATGACCACTCTGTCTTTTAGAGGTTTATATGTTTCATTTAGGTCAGAATGAAAACACAAGAATTCAATCCTTTAATATGGTTGCCAAACTGAGGTCCTGGTCCCCCAAAGGAGTCCCCACTAGATTGCAGGGGGTTCCATAATTGTCTGTGCTGAGGTTGTGGGGCTTGCAAGATTTTATTTGTAAAAAATATACGTTCATAAATCTCAGTAAAACATGCTACTGAATAATTAGAACTCTGCATGAAAGTTATAACGCTGTATGTCTATATAAATGTGTACATCATCACATTTAATGGGTGTATGATTGGAGCAGTTGGGGTTGGGAGTCCTGGCTTGTCTCGGACATGGGCAAGGGGGTCCTCAAGGAAAAAGTTTGGGAACCTCTGGCTTTCGAGAATAGGGATGTAGCAGTTACTACAGCGTTCATAAGTAGTTACAAACTTTTACCAGTTTTACAGTTTCTAATCAAACGTGTCCGATGTAAAACTATTAGTTATTAGTTCAAAGACCAATAAATACCCAAATGCATCTAATAATCACACACGAACACTGACTTTTAAAAAGCCCATATTTAGTTTTAAACAGAAAGCGCATTAATGTATTTGGATTTCACAATAAATAAATAAAATACAAATAAAAAACTGTTTGGTTGAAAAACAAACTATTGAAAAATGAATAAATGTTGAATACAGCTGATTTAATTTGATAAACGTATTTAATCAGGTAAATTACAAAATGTTATTAAATGCAATATTTTATAATTATATGGTCTAAAGTCAAAATTAAAGATAAATAAAATTTAACTATTACAATAACTAATGAAGGATGAGTAACTTTCCAAAATAATGTATTTATGTTTGAGTAGTCCAATGTGAATACGGACAGTATTTAACCCTGAATGTAATATTAATAAAATATCTTTGTTGCTTTTGTTCTGTGTTGGTTTTCCAGTTCGAATTTTCTGTTGTTTTTTATTTACAGAGCAATAGAGATTGGTTTTTACCTTCTTGCTGACATGTGCCGGCTACAGCTGTTGCCTTCATCAGAGCCAACAGCTTATATTGGTTCAATTTTATAGAATTTTAAATAATCCCAATTTAACCTTTCTTTAAGTTAGCCAGAAACCATGTTCTCTCTCCTGGGAAATCAAAATAGTGATTAAAAGAAAAACTTTTTTAAAAACTCAAATCCAAAGAATACATCATAATTGTTACTATTTAATTATACAACAAAAAGCATCTGTACACATCCCCTGCATTACAACAGGTTTTTTTATCTGCAGGAGAAGGTCTCGAGCATTTCTGGAAAGTTCTGCTTGAAGGCAGAAACTGTTGTGTTCCGATCCCCAAGGAGAGATTTGACATTTCGAGGTGGTTGGACCCAGATGACTCAAAGCCGGGTAAATCTCGCACAGGCAAGGCCTCGCTCATCAATGGGTATGAAGTCTGTTATCTAACTTAATCCAATCCGTTTGTGGTTTTTACGGTTTGATGTTGATACGGCCTGTTGACAGAATATGTCATTTTTTTCCCAGATTTAACGAATTTGACCACAAGTTTTTTGGCATCAGCGACAGCGAAGTAGAACAAATGGATCCCCAACAAAAGCTGCTCCTTCAGTGTGTTTACAGAGCTCTAGAAAATGCTGGACTTCCTTTGGAGAAGGCCAGCGGGACCAGGACCGGAGTCTTTTTTGGTAAATTTGCAAAAATGTATCTTTGCTTTTTTGCTCAGCTTGTCGGTCTAGCCACACTTCATCGGAACCTCCTTCCATGATCTATGGCAGACTTCCCCATTGGCTGACATCCTAGTAGTCCAGTAACAGCGCCCTATTGGTTTAGTAGGCCAATCACAGCAATTTGTTGGTGGCCGGGCTATAAAAAAGCAAAGGTGATGGTGGCTTGTTTGGGTTTTTCTTTGACTCAAATGCAGATGGAGGTACTTACTTTTTTAGAAAAAGGATGTATTTGCACCACCTTTGATGAATTATGGTGGACTGCCTCGTTGACTGACCTCGGTAGCAGGGAGTACATCACGTTGTTTGTTATCCAGTAGCATGAGGAGACAGTTTGAAAGACAACCGTAGATCCTGCCCCACGACTGAGAGCCGTCAGTGGGACATGGCCAGGCTATATTCACATGAGTAGGATGGCTTGCAGGCTTCCTTTTTATGGCTTTGCATAGAAAATTTAGTTCGTACATGTTTTGAATTTTTAAGCCAAATTTCTGTATCTCCAGGCATAATGAACCGAGATTATGAAACAAATGCTGCACATGTGCACCCCAGTGTGATTAACCACTGGACCGGAACCGGGCTCGCCATGAGCATCGCTGCAAACAGAGTCTCCTACACCTTTAACTTCACAGGACCTTCGCTGTCCGTCGACTGTGCCTGCTCGTCCTCACTTGTTGCCCTTCATCTCGCCTGCCAGTCCATCAAACAAGGTCTACATGGACCCAATTGACTCATAACAAAGAGACAGCGTTGTGTTTTATCATTTATATGACATTTAAACATTTCATCTCATCAGGAGACTGTGACATGGCTGTTTGTGGAGGTGTTTCCTGCATCATTGAGCCAAGGGTGTTTGTAGCACTCAGTAAGGCCAAGATGATCTCACCGGAAGGGACAAGCCAACCGTTTTCCAGTAGAGCCGATGGGTACGGCAGAGGAGAAGGATGTGGGGTGGTTCTCCTCAAACCACTGAGAAACGTAAGAAATATAGAGACTATGTTTTACTAGTTTTTGTTTGATTAAAGATTAAAGATGTGTAGATATCATAAAATATTTTACGTTCATTCGATTCCTTAACTCACAGTACGATTGTAAAACAATTTTTATGGATTTTGGATGTAAATTATTGTAAATGGAAAAATCTGAATATTTTCTCACGTCAAGGTCTCCAATGTAGTCCCATTTATCCCTTTAAAAAAGCAAAAATTGTTGTTTTTTTTTTAGCATTTTGCGTAAAAAACAACTTTATCTAATAGCACATTAATTGGTTGAAATTGTCTAAAAACAAAGTGGTCAAATGTCTTTTTATTCATCAGAATAAAAAGTTTTTTAAACATTGTACAAAAAAAAGGGGATGACCAAATCCAAAATCACACCTGGATAAATAATCTGAAGGTTCTAACTTTAAATTGAAAGTTTTTACATTATTTTCTTCTTTAGAAACATTTTGCCAGCTTATCTAATCACTTGACTTTTTATTTATGAGATATTGTTTTATATTGTAGAAACAGATGATTGATTTTACCGTAAATCTATGACTGCATCCATGTTTATGTTCGTATTAAATTTACTTTGCTTAGAAATAGGTAAATACATTTTTGAATATATAGCAGGAAGGTACCAAAAATAAAATCCAAACAATGAAATATGTGTTTTTTCCCCATACTGCAACCAGCCACTAGGGGGCTGTTTATTTTGACACCAACAACATGTTGCATTCCTGGAACCAGTTATAATGAGTCAATGGTTGAGGTTGAAACAAACCAGAAACAAAACTTAATATTGTAAAAAAAGAAGAAACACAAGGCGAAAATATCAGACCTCTTATGGAAACGAGGGGGCGTTTGTTCCTAATAAATGAGAGCAAAATTATAGCAACTGGGTGAATAAAACCTCCCTCCCAAAATTATGAGAATTTTGGAATAATTGTCCAACGTCATATTTCATTATGGCCACGTTCTGATCTCGTTAAAAACTTTCAGGCTCTTCGAGACCATGACCACATTTGGGGCATCATCAGCAAAACCGCAGTAAACCAGGATGGACGTTCCGTCACTCCGATCACCAAACCCTCCATGAGTCAACAAGAGGAGCTGCTGAGAAGAATCTACTCAGACACGGACATCGCTTGCGTCCAGTACATAGAAGCTCATGGAACTGGAACCCCAGCTGGAGATCCAACGGAGGCTGGAAGCATCTCCAATGTTATTGCTAAAGCCAGACCGGCCGGTTCTGGGCCACTGCTGATTGGATCCGTGAAGGGCAACATCGGACACACGGAATCTGCGGCCGGAGTGGCCGGACTCATTAAGGTGCTCCTGATGATGAAGCACAAAACCATCGTCCCATCTGTTTTCTACTCTGAAGAAACTTCCAGCATTGACACCAATGCCTTGAATGTAAGAATTCCATGGAAGACTGAAATATGGGGATCTTCCACAGCCAGAGTCGCGGGGGTAAACAGCTTTGGGTTTGGGGGAACAAATGCACATGCTATAGTCAAACAGCACTTGCAGTCAGATGTTGAGCAGAAAATCGAAGAGAAGAAAACAAAATATTTCGTCATTTCGGCTAATTCCCAAAAATGTCTCACCATGATGATCGAGGATACCATTAAACAGCTGGAGGTAGATGATGAAGTTCATCTGGATTCTCTGTTGTACACATCAGCTTGTCGAAGAAGCCACCAGAAACATAAATACAGGAAAGCCATTTTGGTTTCTTCTATGGGTGATCTTAAGGAGAAGCTACGAGTCGCCGTCGGTAAAACCGTTCACCCAGCTCCCTCTGATTCGAGATTGGTGTTTGTCTTCTGTGGAAATGGCGTCACCTACCACGGCATGTGCAAACAGTTGCTGAAAAATGAACCCGTTTTCAGAGAAAAGATCAAAGAAATTACAGAACTTTTCCTAAATCTGAGCCCTCTGAACATCCTGGACTCACTTGAAAGTGAGTATGAAAGTTGTGGCTTTAAAAACCCAGATGTTGGACAGCCCCTCCTCTTTGCGATCCAGGTCGGCATTAATGCATTACTCCGGCACTGGGGGGTCAAACCCGACGCGGTGCTAGGACACTCTATAGGGGAAGTTGCTGCAGCTCATTGTTCAGGCCTTTTATCTCTCAAAGATGCTGTGAAAATCATTTACTTCCGCAGCTTCCTTCAGGGAAAAGTCACAGGCGGAAAGATGCTTGTGATCAGCAACATAGCCGTATCAGAGGTAGCTTCTCTTCTCCCTAAATACTCTGGAAGACTCGACCTTGCTGCCTTCAACAGCCCACAATCCTGCACCCTCTCAGGTGACGCAGATGCAATTGACAGCCTCCATGAGGAGCTTTCCAACTCTGCTAATGGTCAGAATCTGTTTCTTCATCTGCTCGATGTTCCCGCTGCTTACCACAGTCACATGATGGATCCAATTCTACCCAAAATCAAGGAGATGATCGGCTCCTTGCAGGAGAACAACCTTGACACAGAGCTGTTTTCAACGGTCACAGGGAAGGAAATCCAGCAGGGAGATTTCTGCTCAGGCGAATACTGGGCGAGAAACATTCGTGAGCCAGTTGCTTTTGAGCAGGCTTTGAGGTTGTCAACTAAAGGGAAGAGGGGGGTAGTCTTTTTAGAGATAGGGCCAAGAAAGGCACTGCAGAGAAACATTATGGAAACTCTGGGAAACAACATAGCTGTTGTTGCTTCAGTAGAGCCGCAAAAAGATCACGAGTCCTTTATCTCTGTTGTTTCTAAACTGTTTGAGCTGGGCGTCCAGGTCAACTGGAACAGCTTCTACAGAGGCTACGAGACAATACCACTGTTCTTCCCAACGTACCAGTTTGATTGCCAAAACAGGGACGTCATAATGAAAGCAGCTCAGAACGGTAAATCCAGCACTCATCCCGTGCTCTGCAACATGGGAAGTGAGGGCGATATGTTCAGCTGCAATCTCACATCTGACTCTACCTTCTACCTAAAAGAGCACAAACACAATAATGTACCCATCATCCCTGGTGCCTTCTATGCTGAGCTGGGTTTGGCTGCATTCATGGCCAGCGCAAACCCAAAAGTACCCCTCAGCTCACTTCAGCTCAGTGTCAGTTTTCTCAGTCCTTTTGTTTTAACACAAAATTCTCCTGAGATGAAAGTGCAATTGGAACAAACAGTAGATGGAACTAGTTTCTCTATATTTTCTGCATCTGCTGTGTACGCCTCAGGCTCGGTGGTTTCTAAGAAAGAAAGGATGGTTAAAAATCCGAGCATTTCATTAAGCTCCATCTACAAACGATGCACGTCTGTTGTGAGTTTTGAGGAGTTTTACGGTTACCTCTCTCAAGGAGGCTTCCAGTATGGAGATGTCTTCCAGAATAAGGCAGATGTGCATTATGGGGAAGATCTTAAGGAGGCGTTTGCAGTTGTTTCGGTACCAGATGATCTGCAGTCTCATTTGCACGACTACTGCATTCATCCCGTTGTGCTGGATTATTTGATGCAGCTTCTCTCCATTACAGTCAAACACACCTTTGCAGGCAGACCTGGATTTCCCGCCAAAATAGGCACCCTCACAGTGTTTGAACCCTTGGAAAATGAGATGGTTATCTATCTGAGAACGGTTGACATGGGCGTTGATCACTTTGAGGTTTGTGGTTGCTTTGTAGATAAGGAAGGCAGAATTTTGGCCGAGTTGAAGCACGTGATAATCAAGTACCTCGGCAGTCGCTCTCATGTTGTTGACGAGTATTTCTACCACAATAGTTTCACTGTAGTCCCTAAACGCTTCCCCCCTTCACCTCCTCCGAAGACTTTGGTCTTTGCTGACTGTTTGGGGATCTCAAAAGCTCTATGGCAACATTTAGACCCTAAATCTAAGTGTATTTCTTTCACACATGCAAAAGACATCTTAAGCAACGGATTTCCATCTGTTCTGACAAATCTCAAAATCTCAAATGTTAATAAAAACTTTGACGAGGTGTTGTTTTTGTGGGGAAAAGAGAACCTCACGTCACAGGCAGCCGACGTCACCCTGCAGAATCTGGCAAACTGCTGTGAGATTTTCCGCCAAATAGTCCTGGAGATGAAGCGGATCTGCTTCCCCAAAGCAATCCGAGCTGTGACCTATCGATCGTCTGACGTTACTGTAGACCACATAAGTCCTGGTTTTGCTCTTGCTGGTATGATGAGATCACTTGCGGCAGAGTTGCCAGATCTTTCTTTTCAACTGATTGACATAAGTGCAATCTCAAATCAGGACATCACAGCTCTTTCAGATGTCCTGAGATCACATCCCTGCAGCGAGTACCCAGAGCTGGTGGTAAAAGACGGGCTGATCTTGAAACCTTCCATAGTCCGTACCCCGCTGGAAGTCCCTGAGACTAAAGAGGGGAGTTACACCTCTTTAACGTCTAAACCGTGCATCTTCCAGACTAATGATGCACATCAAATTACCCAAGTGAGTGCTCTTCTTTGTGTGGAAGAGGCCCAGACAGTCAACAACTCATCTGTGGAAATTCAACCCAATGCAATATGTGCTCACTCTGCTGATTACTTCCCCGTCAGTGACTCGGTTCTCAAATTTGGCCCAACTCTGTATTGGAGCAAACACTCATCCCAGAAGCACAAGCTTCTTGCCCTTGACTTTAGTGGTACTGTTACAGCAGTTGGGAAAGATGTCAGAAAGCTCAAAGTTGGGGATCATATAGCTTCTTGTTATCCAGTTGTGGCTGCTAGTAGGGTTCAAGTGTCAGAGCATGTGTGCTACAGCACCAGGAGGTTCTCATTCCTTCTCAAAACTCCGTGTGTTTCCTTTTTTGTCCTAGCATGGGAGATCCTCCATCGAGCCTTACCAAGAGCCAAACACGACTTGGGAATCATTTGCACGGAACCTGATTCTGTTCTGGTGAAAGTCTTGGCACTTACCTCTCACAAATCAGGCTGGAATGTGATTTTAGCCACACAGTCTAAAAGCTCGTTTGTAGACAGAAGTCAAGTGGATGCATTTGTCATTCTGCCACCATTTGATGAATCCCTCACAGCAAAAGCATGCAGCTTTCCAGGTGTCCAACACGTTGTAATCGTCTGCGAGTCTCAAAAGCAGCATTTGCTTGTTCAGGATTTGTGCCAAAATGTAAAAGAGATTGTTCACGTGCAGGCGATTCAGATGTGGGCCGTTTTGCAAAAAGGGAACCTGAGAGAACGCAGACCACGCATCTATCGTTGGCTGAAATCTCTGAACCTGAGCAGGAAGTTCACTCTCGATAACTTCACCTTTCAGAATGACAAATCTGAACGTGAAAGCCTCAAATCAGAAAAACTACCATCGTATTTCAGTTCAAAGAAGCTGGCGGTGATAGCTCTGGAAAAGAGTGTAAGCGGTATATCTGAAATTCCACTGCTGCCACCAAACAAACAGCTATTTAGAAAGAAATCCGTCTACATTGTAGCTGGTGGTCTGTCTGGTTTGGGTTTCGAGACGGTCAAGTTTATCTCCCAAAGAGGTGGGGAGTATGTCGTTGTTCTCTCCAGGAGCAAACCAACTCCAGATGTGCAGCGAGAACTGCTCACCATTCAGAAACAATGTGGAAACAGCATCACCAGCATGGAGTGCGATGTGTCTGTATTTGAACTTGTGCACAACATGGTCAATGCCATTGAGCATAGGTTCAGTGGCTGTCCAATAAGAGGAGTGTTTCACAGCGCGGTGGTCCTGCACGACGGGCTGATTGAGACCCTGAACAGATCACTTTATGAGAAAGTTTTAAAACCCAAAGTGAATGGCGTCTTGAATTTGCACCGAGTGACTCAGCACTGTGAGTTAGACTACTTTGTGTGCTACTCCTCCATCTCTGCATTCCTAGGAAACGCATCGCAAACAAACTACGCAGCTGCCAACTCCTTCCTTGACCTGTTCTGCCAGTACAGGCGCAGACTTGGACTGCCCGGACAGTCGATCAGCTGGGGAGCCCTAAATCTCGGTCTGCTGCTGAACAAAGAGCACTTCCATCGCTTTCTTGAGGCAAAGGGGATGATGGTGTTGGATGTGGCAGAGATTCACAAAAGCTTGGAGCAGTGCCTCATGCTCAACCAGCCCCAACAAGCCGTGTGCAGGTTTCACTTCAGGAACATCAGGTTCAACGTTCTCTCTCAGAACAAAGCCCTTACCTTGCGTCTTAAAGCATTAGTTGACGAGGCCTTCCAAAAATCCAAAGAAACAAATTCTGAGGCTAAGCAAACCGATACTGTTTCACCAAAAGAATACGTCATCTCTGTGCTGAGCGAGACCATCGGCACTGATCAGAGCGATCTCAGTGAGCAGGTTCTGCTGTCGTCTTTAGGGATGGACTCCATGCAGGCCATGACTCTCCAGAATCTCATGTTTCAGGAGAGAGGTGTCAATGTGCCCCTTGTGAAACTGTTGGATCCAAATGCTACGTTATCAACAGTGATTGCTGCACTGGGTGAAGCAGATGAGGGGGAGAAGTCTTTCCTGGCAGAAGGCTTGAGTGATCTGTCTACAAGATTGTAAAAAAAGAAGTTAAAGCAACAGTGAACTGAACTTTTTTTTTCTTTTTTTTAAAAAAAAACTAAATATTTGTGCTCACGCCAATCCTTTCTCTCACACTGTGATTAATTTTTCTATATATTTTTTTTCTGTTTTTGATGCATTTATTTTTGTCATGATCCTCGTGCCGAGGTGAGTGCTCCTCCTAAATTAACCATCTTTGAGGTTCTGTGTTCCACAGGTGAGGAGCAGAGGGGCACCAGCTGTGCCAAATCAATCATTAGGAGCTTGGGTTTAAAAGGAGGATGGAGACACCACTCGAAGCCGGATGATTACTCCAGTTTTGGTAACGCCTGCCACTCGTACTTGTTTGCTCCTAGTAGTTTGCCCTCGCGTGTTTGGATTATCTGGATTTTCACTTTGGACTGTCTTTTGGATTACGATTTTGAACTTGCTCCTGAAGCCCTGTCTGTTTGCCCTCCTAGGATTATCACCACTACCTTCACCAGCTCTGCTAAGAACCACGGACCTTCATACCACGGCCCATCCTCCTCCACAGCTCCTGCATCTCCCCTCTCTGCTTCCTCACCTCCCGCCCGGCTGGGTCGCCACACTCGTCCACCTCGGCACCCCACAGCTCGCTGAGCTAAGGACTCTGAACTATCGGCCACGGCATCATTCACTGGATTTCAGTGCTCCTTTAGTTCCCGTTTGTTAATAAAAGTCTTTAATTTCTTACCTCCTGACTCCCGTGCTGATTCTGCATGTCTTGGGTTAGACGCCTTCCACAAGTCATGACAATTTTCTTCATTTTAATCATTTTATGGAAACTCCATCCTAGTTTTGAAAGATGACGAATTAAGGCATTAAACACAGTCAACACATTCTCACTCCCAGCGCGTCAAAAACAAACGCTTGGTCAGCCACCCTCCGGTCAGACCCCTGACGCCAAAAGTGCCCTTTTTCGTCACTTATGTGCGAAAAGGGGTTTTCCCGTTTTCTGATTGCAGATCCCAATGCAGCGTTACGCTGACGCGATGGGATGTCCGCAGCCGGGGCACCAAACAAGCTCATTGTACCTCACCCTAACCTTATCCTCTTATTTAACCTTCCCCTCACCCCTATCCTAACCTTAACCATCTTGCTAGCTAACACGATAGTGATGTGTCGGTCGCTCTAAGAGCCGGCTCTTTGAAGTGAACGGCGGGAGCCGCCTTGTCATTGGTCGAATTTGGACCGAGGCAACGCGAGGGGGAGGTTTCAACTACCAAGGTGGAGGTTAAAGGTAGAGGGTATTTGTAACCTCCCCCTCGCCAGATGGTATGTTCTAACGTTCCCCTTGGGCGGCAAATACGAAAATTCACAGTCAGACTCTGACGGTCAGAGTCAGAATGCATGGGAAACAAACGCTTGATCACAGTGAGAGTAACGTTTTAGGTAGTAAGATGGTTAAGGTTAGGGTGAGGTACAACAAGCTGGTTCGGTGCCTCATCAGCGGACATCCCATCGCGTCAGTTTTACACTGCTTTGGGATCTGCAGTCAGAAAACGGAAAAACCTCTTTTCGCACATAAGTAACGAAAAAGGGCATTTTTGGCATCAGGGGTCTGACGCAGAGGGTGGCTGACCAAGCGTTTGTTTTTGACGCGTTGGGAGTGAGAATGTTCAAAATGTTCAAAAAGTGGCTTCAAAAGTAACCATAAAATGGGATTTTTTTTATGTTTTTAATTTATAGATGTGCTTTTTCTAGTCAAGCCCAGATATGTGGTAGTTACATGTTTATTGTTCATCTTATCAGCTTGTATTGACTTAGTTATCTCTTACAGTCAAGCATGGCCACTCCTTATCACCGATAAGATATTGATTATCCTGATTATCAGCTTGAAAGTGATGGTGGAAAATATGAAACTGTTTTCTGTCTGTCAGTGACCAATCCGTTTTTCTTTCTGACACACTGATTTATTACAAGTAGAAAAAGAACATCCTCTCTGATTTATATATGTAATTAAATTATGTATAAGACACTGATAAAATAGTAAAATAATGTAATAACTTCCACAAAATGCATGTCTGTATTTTCTAGAATAGCTAATAAACAAACGAGTTTGCAAGTCATGAATATTTTCCAGTGTTTATGATGCAAGTTTGGCTTTTTTTCATAATTCTGCTTCATTTTTACACAACAAAAGAGAATGCACATAACTGACAATGTTGGTTTATTTACAGATATTCTAAAATGTTATGATACACAGCTTCAAACCAACTTATAATCAGAAACACCATAAACAAATGTTATATTAATAATGCAACAATTACAATTTTTATGACTTCAAATATTACAAAAAGCAACACAATCTCTTTTTTTCATTCTTAAGGACATCAGAAGCATTGAGCATAATAGAGGATACAATACATTCAATTCAATTCAAGTTTATTTATATAGCGCCAAATCACGACAAGAGTCGTCTCAAGGCCCTTCACATTATAAACATTCCAATTCACAGTTCATTAAGCCAATCAGAAATAATGTTTCCTATATAAGGAACCCAGCAAATTGCATCAAGTCACTGACTAGTGTCAGTGACTATACAGCAATCCTCATACTAAGCAAGCATGCAGCGACAGTGGAGAGGAAAACTCCCTTTTAACAGGAAGAAACCTCCAGAGAATCCTGGCTCAGTATAAGCAGCCATCCTCCATGACTCACTGGGGATCGAGAAGACAGAGCAGGCAGACAAAGACACACACACACACACACACACACACACACACACACACACGCACACACGCACGCACGCACACACACACACACACAAGTAATGTGTCTATAGTTATATTGTGATGTCTTAGTAAATATTGTATTTGGTGAAAGATAAACTTTATTGTATTTGTTCTAGTGGATCTATAATTAAACGGATAAACTAGTAGTAGCACATCAAAAGTCAATGAAAACAAAAAGTTGCTATCAGGAGAGAGAGAATGTATTAGTGGTTAGCAGCAGTGTGCTAGTACATCTCATTAACAACTCATAATCCAACAATAAGGATTGTCTTTTTTAATGATATTCTGTTATTTGTTAAAAATTTGAATTAATTACTTAAAACATGATCTACTCTAAAATGTATGCACATTAAATTAACCTACACTATTTTCTTAGATGAGATGCAACTACAACACAGTAATGACAATTTACCATTTTGCAGGTGTACACAGAACTCTTAAATGCAAACTTTAATACAACTCAGAAGCATTATCATTGTTGATTACACGGTTTATACGAATAAAGGCTCTTCAAACTTTTATTGTTTCATTGAAAACATCTGATTCTTAATTCTTCATGCATGTTTGTGTTAATTGTTTGCCAATCTTATTTTATGTTTCTGCCAAAGACAACATCGGTGCAACTGTTAACCGTTAAAAACTGGACACACTATTTACATTTATATGACATTCAGATTTTCTTGATACAATTTAGGCCCAAATTTAGTATAATTGTGCATTGGCTCTTTGCTTTTTAAGGGTTTGGAATAAAATCACCCACCATTCAAGACAACTTTGACCAAAGTGACAAGTGTGCTGTTTGGGTCCAGTATTATAACCAAAGGCACATTCACTCCAGTCTCCTGGAAAATCCTGTTCTGCAGAGTCATGGCTAGCATCGAGTCGACTCCAAGTGCACCCAGAGAGGCCTCGTCATCCAGCTCAGCTGCATTTAAGCTCAGTACTTGACTAAAAATTCTCCTCACACTTTCGGGCGTGGAAGAAGAAGGCTGAACTTTGGGTTCTTTGTGTTTTTCGTCTTTGAGCGCTGTTTCCACTAAAGCTGACAGTCGCTCCCTCAGAGATGCGTTTTGGGAAAGTACGTGCACATTGAGGTTTTTGAAGTTGAACTTGCATATTACCTGTTGAGGTCTGTTCATTGATAAACACATTTGAAGTGTCTGGTGGATTTCACGCACACACATGGTCATCATCCCTTTTGCCTCCAAGAACTTTTGAAAGTGGTCCTTGTTCAGCAGCAAACCGACATTTAAAGGACCCCAGTTGATAGACTGTCCCACAAGACCGAGGTTTCTTCGGTAATGACAAAACATGTCCAGGAAAGAATTGGCTGCAGCGTAGTTACACTGTGATGCATTGCCTATGACCGACGAGACGGACGAGTAGCAAACAAAAAAGTCAAGTTTCTCCTGAAGGGTTGCAAAGTGGAGATTCAGAGCGCCACTGACTTTGGGTTTCAACACCTTCTGAAAGAGAGACTCATGAAGAGATTCAATCAGTGCGTCGTGCAGGACTGCAGCACTGTGAAACACACCTTTGATTGGACAAGATGGAAACTTTGCTCCAATTTTGGAGAACGCATCCACCACTTGCACCGACATGGAAACGTCACACTGGATATTCAGGATTTTGACTCCATATTGCTTCTGGAGGAGATCTAGTTCAAGCTGGAGTCTGTCAGAAGGAGCACTTCTTGAGAATATTGCAATATGGCTTCCACCATTTTTGGAAATAAACCTAACGGTCTCAAATCCCAATCCAGACAAGCCTCCTGTTACAACATAAACACATCTCTGCTTAAAAAGCTGCTTGGATCTTGTCAACAACACGTCGTCAGATGGTGGAAAATCAAATCCCTCATGATTGATAACAACCTGCTGCACCGTTGGTGAGGCGAAGTAAGACTCGTGTTCTTTTATGTGATTAAGCTCCCTTCTAAGAGGAAGCGACTCAGCACTGAAGCCCAGTGACTGTAGCCAGGTGTAGACGCTTCTGCTTCGGGCTCGCAGACTGGCTCGCTGGAGAACACGAGCCACATCAAGTTCATGCACAAGAATTTGCTCGCTCTTTAATGCAAACCTGCTTTTGGGAACAGGCGGTGACATGTGACTGCTCCACACAAAAACAGCAGGTTTCACTGAGTCGACACTGTCACACATCAACTCCAGAGAGTGATCGACAGGCGGCAGGAAAACAAAAGCATCGAAATGGGACAGTTCGCTGGTGAGGCGTGCTCGAGATGAAACATTCCAGCCGGACCTGCTGGCTGCGAGTGCAAGAACCTTAGTGAGAACCGAGACTGAGTTTGAGGAGATAATTGCCAGCTTTCTGTGCTGTTTAAGAACTTTGGGCAGCACATTTTGCAAGATCTCCCATGCCAATATGAAGTAGGACACACATGGAGTCTCTCTGAAAATTGGAAGTGTCTTTGTGCCATAGCAGACTGCTTCAGGAATGACAATCTTTGCGGCGGCAGTTACTGGATAACACGAAGCAATGTGGTCTCCCACTTTTAGGTCTTTGACTTGTCTACCAACAGATGTGACAATGCCACTGTAGTCTAAAGCCATGAGGTTGTGATTCTGAGTCACACAGTTGTTCCAGTAAAATGTCTTCCCAAAGCTAAACTGGGAAGTGCTGACAGGGAAATAATCCGAAGAATGAACACACACATTATCTAGTTGGATTTCAACAGATTTTTCTTGAACAGGACTTTCATCTGCGTTACCAACGATGGCAGACAGGTTAGCCATTCTGTAAGGGTCAGTAGTTTGAAGGACATAGTCTTTCAGATCCCCCAAATATGTCTCGTTCTTATCCTCCAGTGGAGTCTGTGCTATTCTTGTTGCCGATGCCTGCCCCTTGTTGATCCTGACCTCTTGTTGTTTATTGGTTTTAATTACATGAACCAAGGTACGGATGTCTTCGGCGGTCACGGAAGCGAGATCAATCAGCTGAAAGTGAAGCTCTGCCATCTCGACAGAGCATGCCCTGGTCATGCCCGAGAGCACAAAGCCAGGAGTCACACGGTCAACACTCATTTCTGTCGATTTGTAAGTTACGACCCTGATGGTGCAGGGAAGTTTGCTCCTTTTGACAGCCAAAACGACGTGCCGTAACTTCTCACAGCAAGTCACGAAACACTTCAGAATCATCTCAGATGACAAATGACTGAGGTCATCAACACCCGAAATGAAGAGAACATTGTTCAGGTCATCATTTCGTTCCAGCAAGCTAAACACCAAGTTTTGAACTTGATCCGAAGTCAGCTTCTTTCTGCTCTCTATGAGAACCGACTCAGGAGACAAGTATGGTCTCAGATCTTTAGCAATTCCAAGCTGATCTTCAAAGACAACCGCTTTTATTTTGCAATCTTGAACGTCTCTCCTGTCTGCCAACGCAACTGTTTCACTGTGAAAGAACAACCATTGAGGAGAATCTGAGACACAATCCAAAAATGAAATTCTCACCCCCTTGAGCTCCACAAGAACACTCCCATCTTTGGTGGTGAAACAACCACACACCTCAAGGAACTCTCGTGTCTCCCGACTAGCCCGCAAGTACACGACCATTTCCTGTCTCATGGGTCCGGAGATGCTGATACTTGCTATTCGTGAGGGAAATCCCCGCCTTGCTGACAGTTGTCCCATTGCAACTGCAGCAGTCATTTGCATAAAATAATCCAGAAGCACAGGATGAATGACATACTCATGGAGATTCTTCTGAAGTTCATCGGGGACTCGAACAGTAGTTACAGCTTCCTTGAATTCGCTCCCGAAATACACTTCATTTAGTTTTTGGAAAAGAGGGCCATACTGAAAGCCAGCTTGAGACAGAAGGGAATAAATTTCATCGGTCGCCATGACTAGTTTGCACCTTTGGTAGATGACATCAAGACAAACGGTTGGCTCTTCTAGCAGTGGTGGCTGCTCTGTGAACAAGCCAGAGGCATATGTTGCAACAGGGGACTGTATTTTAAATGAGGCCTCCTTCTCTGATTGTTCTAGCATTACTTTCAACCGTTGGGATTGTGAGTTTAGAACAAGAACACTCTCAAATGTTACACTGAGACTGAGCAGGGATAGAGGTTTCTTTGGCTTCAGATTTGCCACCACTAAGGAAAAAGCTGTCTCAACATAAAACGCGCCTGGCACAATGGGAATGTTGTTGTTTTTATGCTCCCAAAGATATGGCTCAGTCTCCAGTGACAGGTCAAACTCAAATTCTTTCTTATTCTGTCTTACGTGGGTTTCAAACCCGTGCTGAGAACAGCGGGATGACTCGCTGCCTCTTCTTAAAGCTTCAAAGTTCACATTTTTCTTTGTGCTGTCAAACTGGTAGACTGGAAGAGCTGTTGGCAATGTCTCACCACCCCTGTAGAGCTCCTTCCAGTCTACATCAACTCCAAGTTCAAACAGTTTGGCCAGAGTAGAGAAGATGGTGTCACGGTCTTTCTCAGATCTAACGGAGGAAAGGACTTTCACATCATCTCCAAGAGTCTCACATATGTACCTCTGAAGAGCCCTTCGTGGTCCAATCTCCACAAAGACCACATTTCGTCTTCCGTCTGTGACAGAAGCACGAAGAGCTCGCTCAAGTAAAACTGGCTCCCGGATGTTCTTGGCCCAGTAGGTGCCAGAGATGAAGTCACCATCTGAACACCTTTCGCCAGTCACTGTTGAAAATAGGTCACACTCCAAGTTGTTTGCATCCAAAAGCCCAATGCTTCTCTCAACGTCGTCTAGAATCGGATCCATCATGTGGCTATGATAGGCAGCGGGGACATCCAAGAAATGCAAGAAGAGATTTATGTCTGCAAACAGAAGTGTCAGCCTCTCGTGGAGGACATCTATAGCATCTGCATCTCCTGACAAAGTGATGGACTGAGGGCTGTTGTAAGCAGCGACACTGATCTTCCCAGAAAAGGCTGGAAGAACTTCCAAGACCTTTTCCACTGCAACGTTGCTGACCACAAGCATTTTCCCTCCCGTGACGTTGCTTTGAAGACTACTGCGGTGGTACAACACTTTCACAGCGTCGTCCAAACGCAAAACACCCGAGCAGTGAGCTGCAGCTACCTCACCAACAGAGTGACCAAGCATAGCGTTGGGTTTCACACCCCAGTGCCTCAGCAGGGTGGCAATGCCAACTTGGATTGCAAAAAGTAGAGGTTGGGCGACATTTGGATGGGTGGAGCAGCTGTTGTCCGTGTCATCAGTTAGCCACTGACTGATGTTGATGTCTTTATAACTCCGAAAAAGCCTTTCAACTTCTCTAACCGTCTCTCTAAAAACAGGAACTTTCGTCATGAGCGGCCTGCACATCCCCTTGTAAGAAACGCCATTCCCACAAAACACAAACACCACTTGAACGTCGGACTTCACTGACTCAAACTTGGTTTTACGTGCCGATCTGAGCTGTTTTTTTAAATCTAATAGGGACGATGCTGAAAACGTCTTCCTAACTTTGTGTTTGCAGTGAGTCCTCCTGCATGCTGAGGTGTAGGAGATGGCCTGCAAATCAGCTGTTTCACTGCTGCAAAGCCTTTGGTGAGTGTCAGTTATCGTTAGGCTCAGTGCTTTTTCAGACATTGCAGACAATACAAAAAGTTTTGGTCCATCTTGTGTGGGAACTATTGTGTGGTTGTGCTCTCTTAAAATCACATGTGCATTTGTTCCCCCAAACCCAAAGCTGTTCACACCCGCTGCCCTTCCCAGTGGTTGAATCACCTCCCATCTCTGAGTTTGGCTTGGAATGTGTAATTTCAGAGCTTTTACATCTATGCTTGAACCATCTTCAGAGTAGAAAACTGAGGGGACGATGGTTTTGTGCTTCATCATCAGGAGTACCTTAATAAGTCCGGCTACTCCGGCTGCAGCTTCCGTGTGTCCGATGTTGCCCTTCACGGATCCAATCAGCAGTGGCCCAGAACCGGCCGGTCTGGCTTTAGCAATAACGTTGGAGATGCTTCCAGCCTCCGTTAGATCTCCAGCTGGGGTTCCAGTTCCATGAGCTTCTATGTACTGGACGCTAGCGATGTCCGTGTCTGAGTAGATTCTTCTCAGCAGCTCCTCCTGTTGACTCATGGAGGGTTTGGTGATTGGAGTGACAGAACGTCCATCTTGGTTGATGGCAGTTTTACAGATGACTCCCCATATTTTGTTGCAATCCTTCACAGCCTTTAGGGGAAAAAAAATATTAGGACGCTTGCTAATTTTGCATAAACAATTCCCAATGACTCCAGTTACTAGAACTAATGCTCATCTGATGCACATATTTCTAAGTGTCTGAGAAACCAACCACCTATCCGAGAGGTTTTTACTTTACCTCATTAACCAGCTGAGTTAAATCTTAGCAGCCAGACTCCTAACCAAATCCAGCAGACGAGCTCACATCACTCCAGGTTTGCAGTCCCTCCACTGGCTCCCGGTAGAATATAGAATACAGTTTAAAGTTTTAGTCCTGACCTATAGAGCTCTTAACAACCAGGCTCCAAGCTACCTATCTGAGCTTTTATCCCCACACACCACCTCTCAGAACCTTAGATCCACATCTGAAAACCTCCTGGCTGTTCCTCGAACCAGACTGAAAACCAAAGGGGACAGGGCCTTTCAGACTATTGCACCCAGACTTTGGAACAGCTTGCCTTCAAATCTCCGTCTCTCAAACACTGTAGAGGTCTTTAAAAATCATCTAAAAACTCACCTTTTCATCCAGGCGTTCCCTCCCTAAAGATGGCTTTGTTCGGGTTCACACCTTCACTTTGTTTTTACTCCTGATTTTATTTACTATTTTATCACTGCTATTGTTTTTCGGATGTTTTTATTGATTAGAGGTATTTGCCCTGATCTTACTCATGTTGTACAGCGCTTTGTGATTTATATCTGCGAAAGGCGCTAAACTTTTACTTACTTACCTACTTATACATGTTGTCTGTCCTCGTGTGGAGGATCTGCGTAATGCAGGTCATCTATACTGCAGGTTTTATTTATTTTATTGCTGCTCTACTCTTATATAATAATTGTTATATTAACCATTGGTAGTAACTTGTTTAAATTGGAAAAAATATATATATATTTATAGTAACCATCAAACTTATATAGCGCTCTTTAGGACACTCAAAGACGCTTCCATGCACTCTCACATTCACACACTGCTAGTGATGGTAAGCTACTTGTAGCCACAGCCGCCCTGGAGCGGTCTGACAGAGGCGATGCTGCCATTTTGGCGCCGTCGGCCCCTCTGACCACCAGCAACATAGGCAAGTTGGGTGAAGTGTCTTGCCAAAGGACACAACAGCAGGATTCCCCTGGCAGGAGCTGGAATCAAACCCACGACCCTCTGATCGTGAGGCAACCCGCTCTACCACCTGAGCTACTGCTGCCCCCTATATTTATATTGTTTAACCTGCCAAGCTTGGATGAACTTTATTGGTTTATTTTCAACTAAGTATTTTTATATTCCTCCCCCATTTCAGACCATTTAGCAATAGATGCTTTGTGCAAGTTAGAATAAAACGAGTAACACTTCATATTAAATGCGGTAAACCTAGAGAAAAGCAGCTACCTGTCTGAGAGGTTTCAGGAGTACAATTCCGCAGCCTTCCCCTCTGCCGTATCCATCTGCTCTCGTGGAAAAGGGTTTGCTGGTTCCTTCAGCTGAAATCATCTTCGCTTTGCTGAGAGCCACAAACACTCTTGGCTCGATGATGCAGTTAACTCCTCCACACAGAGCCATCTCGCAGTCTCCTGGTCGCAATATAAAATTATGAAAATATAAAGTAAAAAAACAAAATCCTGAATCGTCTCAGATTTCTTTAGGAGACCGTCTTTATTTTTCTGGTTTGAAACTTTATTTTAAAGGGTAAAAGCTGAAGTTTAACTTATTTAAGCCTACCAAACACATTCCACAATATATTTAGTACAGTTTGGGCAAAGGCTCTTAAACAAAAGGAAGAATTAATAAAAATAATAAACTAATAATAATAATAATAATAGAATCAATGTGTTTATTTAGATAGAAAACATAATAACAAGCAGACTAATCAAAGAAAACTCCCTAAAGAGTTTTTTGAGGAAAAATAAAAACATTTTTGACTAAAGCAACCCACTTTTGCCAGTTTTATTTTATTTTTTTGTAATTTTTTTAATCATTATTATTCCACATCTCACCTTGCTTTAAACCCTGACAGGCTACATGTATAGCCACCAAAGAAGAAGAGCAGGCGCTGTCCAGAGCAAAAGAAGGTCCAGTCAGGTTAAAAATGAAGGAGATCCTGTTAGCTGAGATGCTCATGGCGGTCCCGGTGCCGTTGTAGTGAGTTACTGATCCTGGATTGTTGTTCCTGATCATCTCATAGTCTCTGTTCATGAGACCTGCAGCAGCACAGAAAGAAGATACGATGAACAAAATCCAGGATTTCAGCTGGAAATGTAAAAATGTGAGAAGAGTACCGATGTAAACTCCAGTCCTGCTTCCGCTGATAGTCTCCATGGTTACCCCTGCATCCTCCAAAGCCCTGTAGGAGCACTGCAGGAGGAGTTTCTGCTGAGGATCCATGGAGTCTGCCTCCACTTCAGGGATCCCGAAAAACGTGTGATCGAACTCATTAAACCTGGAATGTTAACAACAAACTCATCGCTCAAGTTGAGGAATAAATGAACACGTTCTGTGAACTCACCCTTCTATTAGAGCAGCTTTGGTTGTTTGGGTTTTTCCAGGTTTGTTGGCATCAGCATGGAACCAAAAGCTGGTGTCAAACCTCTCAGCTGGAATATCTAATGCACAGTTCTTTCCCTCCTGCAGAACTTTCCAGAAATTATCCAGCCCTTCACCTAGGATAGAAAAGAATTACGTGAATTATTTATGCAGGGATTCCCAAAGTGTGGTGCCCGCACCCCTGGGGGTGCGCGAGCTGCCGCTAGGGGGTGCGCGAGGTGAAAAGTGTAATGACTGCCGAGCTCAGAGAAGTCTGTCAAAAGCATAGACTGTACATACAGTCTATGATGGGATATATATATCATGTATATATATATATATATATATATATATATATATATATATATATATATATATATAAAATGGTAAATGGCCTGTATTTGATATAGAGCCTTCTAGAGTTCTTGAAACCCCCCAAGGTGCTTTACAACACAATCAGTCATTCACCCATTCACACATACTGGTGGGGATGAGCTACAATGTAGCCACAGCTGCCCTGGGGCGCACTGACAGAGGCGAGGCTGCCGAGCACTGGCGCCACCAGTCCCTCCGACCACCACCAGCAGGCAACGTGGGTTAAGTGTCTTGCCCAAGGACACAACGACAGCGACAGACTGAGCGGGGCTCGAATCTGCAACCTTCTGATTACGGGGCGAGCACTTAACTCCTGTGCCACCATCGCCCCACGTTCACAGGCCTCCCACTTATTCTACACCTCTCATGTCTCTTCACGGTGCCAGACTAGAGTCAAGCTCAATAGGGTCTTCTTTCTCCGCTGATATATATATATATATATATATATATATATATATATATATATATATATATATATATATATATATATATATACATATATATATATATATACATACATATATGTATGTATATAGCCATGCCCTGATGTAGGGCTGGGGGGTGCGTCAACATGGTCGGGACATAGAAGGGGGTGCGCGGCTAAATAAGTTTGAGAACCACTGCTTTATAGTATAGAAGTCCTTGGAAAAAGCCTACCTCCAGGAAAATTACATCCCATTCCAACAACAGCGATGTCCTCCATCGTTTCTCTGCGTTTCACCAGCTTTTAGTTCAAAACCAAAGCTGATTTCAGGTCTCTCCATGCTGAAGCTTGACGTCCAAATAAGAACTGAAATTTTTTCAGACTTCTTAAATATCTAAGTCAACAAGAGGACTCTGTTCACCTCCGCGTGTGTCAGCTGGAACTAAATCTCTTAATTATGGGTTATGATGATCCAAGCTCTCTCCTTTCCTGACTGATAGAAACTAAATCCTGTTTATAGTTTAAGGACGATTTTTTTCAGGTAAACAACAGGTGTGTCAAAGGGATGATTACCGGTATGTCAAATTAAACCTCTGTTCTTTAGTAACAAAAAGCAGGCTTAAAATCTATATATTTATTGTTATTTATCTGGACTTATTTAATATTAATAACTGATTGTGCTGGAACCTAGACACATCTGAGCAAAACAGGCATCTAAAGAGTTGAAGATAATTAAAAAAACACCAATAGGCCTATTTGCAAATAAATTCAGGCTTTCGGGAAATCGTAGGTAGAATTTTTTATGCAGCAAATTTAGGATATGTTTTACAAGTTTAAAAAATATCAATAAAACACAATTTAAGAAGAAAAAAACTTAAAATATAGTTTCACTTTTACCAGCAGTTTTGATATTTTTATTCTATAAAAATTATATAATTGAAATATTTTCTAGGAATTTATTTTTGAGAGACTTTCAACTTTTCTATTTTTAATGTTTAGCCACTAAACATTCAATATGATGTCCTAAGGAAACTAAAATCATGCTAAAACAAACTCAGATCTCTGGAGTATCCACACATCATTTTTATTTTATTTGAAGCAAAACAAAAATGCTATATGTGTGAGTAGAAACGTACCCATACACTAAAAACTAACATATTTGCATCCAAATAACTGGGTAATAAAAAAAATTAAGTAAGAAAACATCAAACCACCTCAGAATTGAGCCAAATGAGTATTAGAAGTGTTACTTTTATTTTGAAATTCTTGGGTTTGATACTCAGACATGTACCAGAAGATCAAACCTAACTAGTAAATGTGTTAAAATCATTCACAGATTACAAATATCTCCTAATAAATATGACAAAGTCCCTCCTGACTGCCTTAAATGTAAATCAGCAGTAGGTACATGTTTGGTTTGTCCCAAGATACAGATACACTGGAAAGAGATCCTAAGGATATGAGCGCTATTTGGTTCTTCTCTGGACTGAGACCCTGTCTCGCTACTGTTGGGATCTACAGACGGTAAACTCAGTACTGGATCGAGACTGTCCTCACTTACGCTGCACGTAGAACATTTTCCTTTCATGGATCAGTGACAAACCTCCATCTAAATCTTCCCAGGATAAATTTATTATGGAGCTTTTCCCTCGCCTCCTCCATTCCACAAAAAGATCTTGGACTCCTTCTCTCTGCTTCACTAAATTTACTTTGGCCTCTGTACTAGTAGTACTTTAGACTAACCGTTTCTGTACTGTAACAAATACTTTCTTGTCCAGACCTGTGTGCACGCTGAGCTTTGTTTTACCTGTTTAATTCAAGTTTATTTATATAGCGCCAAACCACGACAAGCGTCGTCTCAAGGCACTTCACATAATAAACATTTCAATTCACAGTTCATTAAGCCAATCAGAAATAATGTTTCCTATATAAGGAACCCAGCAACTTGCATCAATTACAGCAATCCTCATACTAAGCAAGCATTTAGCGACAGTGGAGAGGAAAACTCCCTTTTAACAGGAAGAAACCTCCAGAGGATCCTGGCTCAGTATAAGCAGCCATCCTCCACGACTCACTGGGGATCGAGAAGACAGAGCAGACACACACACACACACACACCAAGTAGTGTTTCTATGGTTACATTGGGATGTCTTAGTAAATATTCTATTTGGTGAGAGATAAACTTTATTGTATTCATCCTAGTGAATCTATAATTAAACGGGTAAACTAGTAGTAGCACATTCAATGTCAAGGAAAGCAAAAAGTTATTATCAGGAGAGGGAGAATGTTTAAGTGGTTAGCAGCAGTGTGCTAGACGATGGCCCCCTCCATGAGGCCACCACAGCTCAGCAGAACATCGTTGTAGCTTCTTCTGGGGAGAAAAACACTTAGAGAAAATAAAGTTAACATGTCCATAAGAAAATAAAAACCATATAGCAAAAATATCACAAATGTAGTTTTTAATCATTTGATTAAATTACATAAAAACAATCTAACTCTCCAACCAGCTTCATCCATCGTCTCACATTTTTAAATACTGAATAAAACTTTATGCTGATTTGAAACGAAACTTTTACCTCCTGTTTGACTCTTGCATCATGTAAAACAGTCACAAATGTGTTTCCTGAGAGAATTTTCTTTATTTGAGCTTCAAGAAGGCCTTTAGGCAACAGTAGCAGAAAGAAGCACCGAATCAGTTCATTCATGTGGTTTAAATATTTACACACACCTCCTCTCTCATCAGTCACAGCTCTAGCATGCACTAGTATTAAAGAACAAAACACTTTGGGCACTTCAATAAATAAACAACCAAAACAGCATCAATGTGAGTAAAATACATGAAAGAGATAAGCGGAGGAGAGTTCGGGCGGGGCAGAGGTACGTTAAGGTCCTACGGTGTTCTGGATGACCCAAAAAATCCTACAGAATCTTCTGTTGTAAGAATATTTGAGAATTCAGCGAATGGAATTTTAATGGCAGGAAATGTAAAGTAGATGAGATATAAGAGAGGAGTAAAACATGGTTGTTTCATTGTAGTATTCACATTATCAACATAAACGAGGAAAAAATGGCCTCAAAAAGATATTTTATTTACATATTTTAAAAGTCGTGAATGTCTAGTGGTCGAGAGGTTTTCCTTCCAGCACCATCTGGATTTCTTTGGCGTCCAGAGTTTCGTATGTCAGCAAGGCGTCTGCTAGCTTCTCGTGCTCCTGGCTGTAGGTCCTCAGAATGTTTTTGGCCCGATCGTAGGACTCCTGAAGCAAAACGATGGTTTTAAAAACTTAGAAAAGAAGGTAAAAACACCCACACTGGCGAGAGAAGGACGCACCTTTAGTAAAACTCTGACTTCCCGCTCAATGGCAGCTTGAGTCTCGGGACTCTGCTTGGAAACGTCTCCATAGGTCATGACCCCAAGCTGGGCGGGAGAAAAAAAAAACAGCCTTTTCAAACTTTAGCCGAGGATCATTGCAAACACAAAGGAGTGATTAAAGTCAAACACAAGGGTTTATTATCTCCAGTTTTCCCTCCGTTTCAGATGATTGAACATAAAAGACTCGGATTCCACTAAAAGCTCTCACTCCGACTCAGTCCCTCGCTTTCCGTGGTCCTACAGAGCAGAAGAAACAACTGAACACGGTTTTAGGTGACGCTACTTCATCCTTTAATTCTTTTGCTGCCACTAATCACATTTTATGATCCTCATTAAACGAATATGAACAAATCTCTCTTAATTCAGAATATTGCCTTCTGTGTCATTATTTAGTCTAATAATTGATAAACCTCCAGCGTGTTCATTAAACCTCACCTATGCTGCCACTTTGTGACAATAATGACTCACACTTCTTAGATTTATTCAACTGTAATTCAGCTTCATGCTGATTTAAAACAGAAGTCTCCGAATTGGCTAGTTAGCAATCAGAAAGGCCCTGGCTTAATGAAGCTAAATTTGGCAAAGTCTTTAACAGGAAATAAACGGTATAAAGACATATTTTGAAGTGTTTTGAGTAGGGATGGGTACTTTTGACATTTGAATCGATCCGGTACTAATTCCTGGTACCTACGAATCGATACCGGTACTTCACGGTACCAATTTTAGATACTTTTGAGTGTTTATTATTTTAATTCTCTTTTATAATTAAATATATATTTTTCTCAATATATAACCATATTTGATAAATATCACGATAAATAACAAACAACTGTTTGTATTTTAACATCGTCCTTGTAGTTTTATAAGCTGATAATTAAACTGAAGCAAACATCTTTACTGTGAACTAAATTTACTGTGTATCTTCATTCCTTTTACCGTCTTTTTTCATTGGATGTTTCCTACTGGGAAGTTAGAATTTCCGAGGAGAAGCCGAACGCACCATTAGCTGATAACAACGGTGGCAATGGAAGCTAACATATCAAGCTAACGTTATCTTAACCGCTGGAGCAGATTAAAACGATGATGCCTCACACTTAGATCGTTGTCGCTGGTTTCATCTTCACCCAATCACCCGTCGCATTTAGTAAAGTGAAGCCAAACTTTAGAGCGCGTTCATGCTCTTCTAGTTGGAAATTCGGAGTTCCGAGGAGAAAGCGAACGCACCATTAGTGAAACGGAAGCTAACATATCAAGCTAACGTTATCTTAAACAGTTTATTTAACTGCTGGAGCAGATTAAAACGATGATGCCTCACACTTAGATCGTTGTCGCTGGTTTCATCATCACCCAGTTACCCATCACATTTAGTGAAGTGGACCCAAGCTTTAGCGTGCGTTCTTTCTACCATGCTGCTCTGTTTACAACTGGCTCGCAGGGACCGACGACATAACGCTCTTGCGCATGCGCAGCTGTCTTGGCAAGTTCTCGTTATGAAGGATGGGTACCGAAACGAGGCACCGTTTGAAACGACGTGAATCGGTGCTCGGTCCGTACTATGGAATTCGGTCGGTACCTTAAAAAGTACCGAATTCGGTACCCATCCCTAGTTTTGAGCACAAAAATTACACCATCTTCACAGCTTCTCCTAAGGGTTTACACCTAGCGTGACTGCTGAGCTAACGGCTAGTCCAAATGCAGTTATTTTCTACACCATTTTGAAATGTACCATTCCCTTCTTCAGGGGTCGTTCCAGCTGGAATTGCCTAACACTTCTGAATGACAACATTTGAAATAATAAATAATGGAGTTAAATGTTTGTGAAATAACGATTTTACTTGAGTAAAAGTTGAAGTTTTCTCCAGGGTTTTAACACGTTAGCAGTCTGATGCATCATGTGATTACTACCCCCAGGAAAAGAGACAACTACATCATTTTACATCAGTGGTATTGATCTGTAGTTTTTACCTTATCACTCATGCCGAACCGGGTCACCATCATTTTAGCTATTTTGGTGGCACCGTCGAAGTCGCTGGAGGCTCCTGAAAGCAAACCGAAGGAAAGGGGGTGTTACAACGGGAGCATCTTAACTTTTTTACCCAACCGCTCCTTTGAAGCTCGTACCCGTTGTAACGTTGTCGTCTCCGAAGATGAGCTCCTCTGCGACGCGTCCGCCCATGCTAACGTCCATCTGAGCCAGGAGCTGGGCCCGTGTCTCACTCCAGCGGTCGCTCTCTGGTAGCAAGGACACCTAAACACCAGGTGACAGCTTAGTTTTAGAACGACACCATAAATGGATTACTTTAAGCTACAATCAAAACTAACGTGTCCAAGTGTCGGTCCTCTGGGCATGATGGTGGCCTTATTGATGGGCATTGCGTCTTTGGTGTAGTAGGCAACGATGGCGTGGCCAGACTCGTGGTATGCTGTGATGGTCTTATTCTTCTTGTCTATTTCTACGCTGCGCCTCTCGGGACCTGACAGGAAAAGGAAAACCCGGATTAAAGCTGGAACTCCTCCTGGGATACATGAGGGTTCCGAAGCTTATTCACCCATTAGGATCTTGTCCTTCGCAAACTCCAAGTCCTTCATCGTGACCATCTCTTTCTCGTCAACCGCTGCCTTCAGGGCTGCCTGGTTCACCAGGTTCTCTAGTTCTGCTCCGGAGAATCCCACAGTGCCCCGGGCGATGATCTCTGCGTCGACGGCTGAGAAACAACAAAGCAGGATTTACTCAAGTGACCAGAGACAAAAGTCTTTACAGAGAGAAGGAACAAAGGGATCCTCTGAGGTTTAACTTCACTGGTTCAGCTCTTAGATCAAACACAGCAGAATGTTCTACGGGGACTTACCAGGGTCCACTTTGATCTTAGAGAGGTACCAGTTGAGAATTTCTTTGCGTCCTTTGACATCAGGGCGGGGGACGGTTACCTGCATGTCGAACCTACCGGGCCTCACCAGAGCGCTGAAGAGCAGCAACACAACAACATCTTAAAGTTTGTCCGGTCGTGAAATTTTCTGTAAAAATCAGAGCCGCTACACCTGTGACACACACACACACACACACACACACACACACACACACACACACACACACACACACAGGCGCGCACACACACACACACACACACACACACACACAGGCGCACACACACACACACACACACACACACATACTTATCCAAAGCCTCGGCGAAGTTTGTAGCACCGATAACGATGACGCCTTCATTTGGCTTGAACCTGTAAGAGTTTATCACTTTTTAGATGAAATCTTCATTTCTGTGGAGTTTTATGACGACGACTGAAACTGACCCGTCCATTTCCGCCAGCAGCTGGTTGATGGTTTGTCTGGAGTATGGGTGCATCGGAGATTCGATCCTCTTCCCCCCCACGCTGTCCAACTCATCAATGAAGATGACGCACGGAGCGTTAGCTTTGGCCTCTTCTGCAAATCACAAAGGAACGAGACATCAGTTGGATACGATTTGAGGAGTTTGGACGTTTTCTCAAATGTAGTAAACTCACTGAAAAGGTTCCGGATCCGACTGGCACCGACACCCACAAACATCTCATCGAACTCCGATCCGGAGGCATAGTAGAAAGGCACGTCGGCCTCTCCGGCTACGGCTCGCGCTAGCAGAGTCTTCCCTGTTCCCGGGGGACCAACAAGGAGGATTCCTGTGGGGGAAAAAACACAAAATTAGACTTAAATCTTATTTATCTTGACCAAAAATAAAAGATTATAATACCTTTAGGCAGCTTTCCACCCAGAACGGTGAACTTCTGTGGGTTTTTGAGAAACTCAACAACATCCTGTAGCTCATTCTTGGCCTCCTCCACTCCCTTGACGTGCTCAAAAGTCACATTCTTCATCTGGATCGGGTCGACTGCCGAGTCCAGACCAGATGTGGTGCGGAACCTCACTGTGAAGTCCCAAAACAAACCCATCAGGACCAGATTTCTCCCGACTCTCGCCTGGTCACAGACTAAATGACTTCTTAGTGCTTACTGCGGCCCACATGTAAACATGAGGATCCAAACCTACAGCTACTCATTTCACTGCAGCTGGGTGGAAAATATAAACAGCTGGTACAGACGTGTAGGGGTTAATAAAGAGTAGCACGCACCAAAATAATCAGTCAAGCTCTACATGCACACCGTGGCTCAAATCCAAGTTTCTTATAACTCAAAGATACAACTAAATCTCGGAATTAAAGGCTGAAAAGTGATTTTATTTGAACGAACTGTGCGTTTTTTCTTCTTCTAGGGATGCTGCGAGGGCAGTGTGCACACAGAGCTCTGATCTTAATTGTATGCATATGAAAGAATGAAAACCGACACCAACCAGCGTCAGAAAAGGAGCCTTTACCGGAGAGAAACGGCGTTCTCGACAGGCCGTAAAGACCAATGAGCAAGAGGACCAGCAGGACCAGCCGGGTTCTCCTCAGTGAATCTGTCGAAACATTACAGGAGTCATCCGTCTACGTGTCGCTCATTCGGAAGAGGATCAGAGCCCCCCGAGGAGAAAAGACCTCGGACTTAAATCTCAGGATTCTGACAATAATGTCAGAAATCTAACTTTTTTCCTAAGAATTCTGGGTAAAAAACTCAGAATTGATGTATTTTTTTTCTTTTCAGTGGCACTAATCCTCCTCCGTAAATTCAACACAAGAATGATCTAATCCAAACATAATTGTTTTTAGCCGTGTACCTTGAGTTCTCTGAGTTAAAGTTTGAGACCTCATGAAGCCCTCCGTGAAGCCCGTCTTGAAAGCCTCCTGCTGGTTTTCAGGGAGGTTTTTCTGTTTTACAACTTGATCCAGAGACTGTGGCTCCGCCCCCTTGTCCCTCGTCAGCAACCCCTGAAAAGAAAAGAAAACAAACATGTTTAAGCCGCTTTGTTTATTTTAGTCAAAACCTCACACTTCAAATAAAAACTCTAATTACTGAAGAGTTGAGCTGAAAATTATAGCATTTTTCTATAATCAAAGTCTGACACCACCACTTTAACACCCTCACAAGACATTGTTTAAATATCAACTGAACAAGGAGCCTACCTTCATGAAAGCCGGTGTGTAGGTCTCAGACTCCAGCGGTTTGTCGTACCCAGACTCCATTCGTCTGCTCTTTGTTCGAAGAGTCTTAAAACCCCGGCTCTGAGTCCAAACTAAAAGGATCAACACATTAGATCATTAGTAAACTGAATAAAACCACAAAACAACAAATCTGTAAGTCTTAAATACCAAAATCAGTTTCTTACAAGGCAAAAACTGTAGATCTGAGCAAACTTCTTGAAGAGGGGTGTGATACCGTCTATGACATACGAGAGGGCCCAAACCCTGTAATCTTCTCTGTGGAAACCCTTTGAGGTATAAAAACAGATCCATAAAAGTTATTTTTGTAAATGACAGCCAAAAAAAGAAAAAGTTGTAATGAGCCGCTCACCATGCTTGTTTTGAAAGAAGCTGTCCTCAGAGATGTGACTAGCTCTCCATATTGAAGCAACAGTAGGAGGCTCCTCTGAACTCGGAACAGGCAGCAACCTGCTGACCAGCTCGTCCAGCTGACTCACCCGGACCTCTGAAAGGCCCAGTTCCCTCAGACTAACACTCGGCTACACAGAAACAACAGCAGGAGCGGGTTATTTATAGAGTATGTACACCTTTGCAACAGAATAAAGATGAGAAGCTAGAAGAAAATCAAAGACATGTTTATGTTTATTTATTTAGCAGACGCTTTTATCCAAAGCGACTTAAAATTTATAACCTATAGGGCATGTTGTGATCTGTGGGGGAAACCGGAGTACCCGGAGGAAACCCACGCATGCATGGGGAGAACACGCAACTCCACGCAGAAAGGCTGCAGCCGAGTTTCGAAAAGCAACCTTCGTGCTGCGAGGCAACAGTGCTAACAACTGCGCCACCACGCAGGCCGTGACTCAGGTTTGCACTGTTGCATATGAATGAACCACAAGACTTGTGGATCAATGTTCATTAGTTTGGAGAGATGACATCAAAGTAAAGAGATTTAGCTCAAATGTACTGCACTGTGTTGGGAGCAAACCAGTCAGAGTGAATCAGCGCAAACACCTCATAGTCTGCACGGTGGTGAAAGACTGATGATCTGGGCAACTTACAGTCACTGAATCAACCAAAAATTTCTCTATATGCCAAAGTATTTCATAATCAGTTGTGGAATTATCTGTCTGACAGCTGAAGATTGGTTCGAATTGGGTCATAAAATATTAAAGAGCAAGTCACCCCCTACAAGAAGCACACTTCACTCCCACTTCATGTTTGAAAAATGCAACAAATGCTGTTGCCTAGCAGACCGAGAGGGTGGAGCCACTAACAAATACACACACTCACGACATTGTGACATCATAATGTACCAGTTTACATCATAGCATACCTCTTAGCCAATAGCGGTGGCAGATTTAAATTCAAATGCAGTGAAGAGCTTTTACCTGACAACGGCACAACTGACAGTTTCAGGCAGAAAATTTAAATTTTAACTAAAATGCACTAAAGTGCAAAACTATTGACTACACATGTCTGCAGCACGATTAGACACGCATTTATATAGTTTATCAGAAAAAATAGTTGATTTGGGGTGACTTGCTCTTTAACCTCCAAAATAGCAACAGCATGGCTGAAACAGAAAATAATCACAATGCCGTGAAGGTCCAGTTAAAGTCCAGACCTCCCCCTGACTGAAATGTTAAAAGAGCTGACCTTAAAATAATGTCTGCAAACTTCAATGATCTGAAGCAACACTGTAATGAAAAGTGGCCTAATGTGACTCCACATTGATGTGCGACTCATAAAGCATGCTTGCATAAAGTCAAACATCTGACTTGTTTTTTGTGTCCCACTCACCTCTTTCAGGTATGACTTGTGCTCCTGAGCAAAGTCTTTATGAAGGGTCTGAACTGAAGCTGTGGCTGAGCTCTTCAGAGAGTGAAGCGCGTTGATGACCTGGCCCAGAGGCACCATCATCTGGGAGAAGCAACATTAACAGAAGACCAACAGTCTCTCATCACATGGTAACACAGATAGCCTTGACATTAATCACATGTACAAAGATTAGTTATTGATTAAAATAAACAGATAGGTTGTTTTGTTTTAAGGAGTCTTCCAAATAGGACAGTGGAGCGGGTCAGGATTATGTTTGTGTTCCTGCTAAGTTCGCAGCTCTGACTGAAGGGAGTTATAAAGCGGATAAATTACAAGCTACAAATCCATATCCAGTGGGCTTTCAAATACAAATCAGAGGACAAACAAGCGACCAAAACTATTGGTTTTATAGTGCTCAGAAATCATAACATGACGCAAGCATGGGGTGATTTAACGTTGACATGCTGTTAGCATTTAGCTAAACCAAGTTGTTAAGGACAAGAACAAATATGTCGCTAAAGCAAATGTCTATAGAGCTCTTAGTTGATCACATAATGTCTACTAAGATTAAACGCAATTTTTTTATCAAAGACCGGCTGAAGCGTAAAGAGACAGACACAACTAGACAAATCATCGATCAGCTTTTCAGTCGACTTACCTGCTGTGGTTGAAATGACGTCGCCAGCGAAAACATTTTTGCTTAAAAATGTTTGAAAGACTACCTTTGAAAGGTTGCTGAGTGAAGACAGACCTTCTGAAAATGTAAAAAAAAACAATCCTCCTCAAAGCGGTGTCTTTTTGCTTTCCTTATTACACAACTATCAGCAGTTACACAACTTTTTAAGCTAACAACGGCAAATGGATTCTCCTCCCGGCGTCTGAGGTCAAATGACTACAAAATGACGTACACTACAGACAAATTACTTCCGGGTATAACGTGCATTATCACATTTTCAATATAGGTAATATAAATTTAATCATTTTAAAACTATATAAATTCGCTTAAAACTTAAGCTTTTTATTTAATAAATTAGTCAAATAGCATTTTTTATTGAAAACGATAGTTTTTATTCGTCGTGACCTGTCGTGACTAAGGTCGTGACTGCCTGATTGAAATTACTTTTATTAAATAGATATGTCAATTCAAAATAAAAAAATACTTTATGAAATTATAAAAACGTTTTTAATTTATAGTAATCTAGTTGTAATTCAAAATTAAATAATATAATTTAACAGCTTGTGATTTCATGTCTTATTTTTTATGCAGGCAGATTTTGTAACTTCTAACTTTACGTCATTGGACCACGCTACAGCGCGAGGAATTCAAAAATTAAAAACAAACTCTGAGCTGTTCGGTCATTTAAGTGTTTACTTTAGGCTAGCTGCTTGTTTAAGGGCGAAGCTACTTTCTCATCTGAATTAACAATGGAGGTAGTTGAAAAGCGCTCCTCCAGGTTTTATATGAAATCGGTGGAAATTCCTAAACCACCTTCGATCGACGATTTTGACGTTTTGAAACCCATTAGCCGTGGCGCCTTTGGCAAAGTCTATCTTGCCAGAAAAAAGTGCAGTGCACGTCTATATGCAATAAAGGTGAGTCTTTCGCATCGACTTTGAGAAACGTGGTTAATATTTTAATAAATTAGAACTAGTTATTGTTCGTTTATTCTTTTTTTCTTTTGTGTACAGGTGATGAAAAAGGCAGACATGGTTGACAAAAATATGGCGAGTCAGATGAAGGCTGAAAGAGATGCGCTTGCTCTCAGCAAAAGTCCCTTCATCGTTCATCTGTTTTATTCCCTTCAGACAGCCACTAAGATCTACCTGGTAACAGAGACTGTCAGAACAAATAAATATGCTTTAAAACATTTTAAGAGAAAAGAAAACATTTGAAGCAATAGAAAATCATTTCCATAGCCTCTTGCATTTGTTTATATCGTGAAAATATTTACTCAGGACTGCAAATCCAACAGTTTTCTTTCAATTAAAATAAACGTTTTACATGCTTTCTGTGTTTTTATTTTTTGAAAGAAGTCATTTAGTTTTTCCTGCTTTTCTTTTTTGTTTTGAAAAAGCCCAAAACTGTTGTGCACGAGTCAAGTCAGGCAACATACTCAGATAAATCATTTTGTCTTAAGATAGTCTTGTGGTATGGTATCTTCTGCTTGAGGCTGGCACTATGAGAGACAGCCTGGCTTTAAAAAACTCATTTGAATATTAGATAACCTTTATAACTCAGTTTTAAATTCACTTTTAACAATTGTTTTTTATTTACAGGTGATGGAATACCTGATTGGTGGAGATGTCAAGTCACTTCTTCATATTTATGGATACTTTGATCAGGATATGGCTGTGAAATACATCTCAGAGGTTGCTTTGGCCTTGGATTACCTCCACCGTCATGGAATAATCCACAGGTAGCTCGACACAGACTGACGTTACGTCTGAATCCTGCTGAATGATCTGCTTTTATCATGTGATAATTATCTTTTCAGGGACCTGAAGCCAGACAACATGCTGATATCTAACGAAGGCCACATCAAACTAACAGACTTTGGGCTTTCAAAAGTCAAGCTTGACAGAGGTACGATCTCCTCTGAGCTGAAACAAGTTACAGGGATGTTATTGAAGTTTGACAGCCAAAACATGTGTAGAAATAATAAATGTCTTCTTCATACATTCTCCTGCAATGCCCTGGTCCTGTAGAATGAGCCCTGGCATTTTTACTGTGATTGCCTGTTTTTCTGTAAAATCACAGAAAAAGAGAGATGCTCGGGTCGAGCAGGCTGCTTCATGCGCGTTCACGCTCAGGCATAGCCCGTAGCATTTGCTATCAGTAGCTTTAGCAGCAGAGAGAGAGGCAGTGCCAACTCAGCCACTTTGTCGCTGTTCCTAACGCCTAGTGACAAACCTAGCTACATTTCTGTAGAAATTTCTTCTATATATTTCCTGCAAATTTGCAACAAAATAGCCATTTTCGCTCCGAACCGTTCTTTGGTTTGACGTTGTTTCAGCTGTCCTCAAGGATATAAATGTTACAGATACAGAGGACGTTACTGGCGCTTTAGCTCACCTAGTAAGACGTCGGACTCTCGTGCAGAATACCCGGGTTCAATTCTGGATGTGAACATAGTTTATTTAGAGTTTCTTTTTTACATTAATGGTATATTTTTTACAGTAAGATGCCCAAATTTGAGACTCGCCGAACGGCATTGAATTCACGGATAAAAAAGATGTGGGTTCAACTTTCATTTTGGAACAATTTTTCAAGCAAGGGAAGGGAATGATCTGAGCATGCAGGAGGACTGACCCATCATAAACCTTTGTTGGCTGTGCTGAAGAGAAAGGTACAGAACCAAATTAATTAATTAATTAGCTGCACGTTCTCCTGTCCTCTGTCCTACGGGCCACACATACACGCACACACTCACACACACACAAGGGACTGTCTCAGCTGTTATTTTCGTTAAGGAGTGTGCACGTACAGCATGCGCACCTCGTGCACGAGCCTCCTATTGAAGCTGTCGTTACGCTTTTGGCCTGAGGGGGCAATCGCGAGCATAAAAATTCAAAAGTCTGTAAAGTCCCTTTAAACCTATTTCTGATGTCTCCTTTTGTCATCTGTGTGGTTTTGATTTGAAACAGAGCTGAGTCTGATGGATATCCTCACCACTCCGTCCTTGGCTAAACCAAAACAAGATTTCTTTCGCACCCCAGGCCAAGTCCTATCTTTAATCTGCTCCCTTGGATTCGTAAGTTCATTAATCTTAAATGGGTAGTGGGACTTATTTTGTTGTTTGTCGTGACCCTCTCCTTATTTTGTGAAATGCAGAACACGCCTGCAGGAGAAAGTAAACGCCACAGCAGCGCCTCTGTCGTGTCCAGCCCAATGTCCTGCAGCAAAGTCAAACAGAAGAACAACTCTCTTGGTTCTCCTTTGACAAACAGTACATATCAGCTGTTTTCTCCGACTGGCTATGAAAATAAAATAGGTACGATATTAACCGTATGCAGAGCCTGTTTTAACCTGAGTCTGTGCAGTTATTCACTTATCATCTTTGTTATGACTTCCTCTTCATTACTATTGTTTTTTTGTGTTTTTTTATTTTATTTATAGGACCTAAAATTAAAACGTTCACTCATCATAATCTGACAAAAAACCTGACTCCCACGTTGCTGAAGATCAGGAAGAGGTTTGAGACGATGAGCGCCGACAGCACCCCCGACACCGAGGGTGGCGTCAGTCCCATGTGGGAGTGTGAGGAGGTCAGTAGATGTAAACCTGTCCAAACATTTATGATCCAGAGTGTACCTCCATATCTCAAAGGGATATTTCAGCCGTTTTGATGCGTCAGATAAAAAAAATATTAACAACTTCAAAAGATTAGCCCTGTTTTAAACCAACACCGACGAGTTTTACACACTGTTCATTTCAAACTGGGTTTTAATGGTTTTTGAGCCAGAAACCTGAGGAGCTTCACATTAGGCAGCACTAAGCAGCCATCTGCTGACCAGAAACTGCACGTACCAACTTTTGTGGTTCAGGTAGGAAATCTAGTCGGCGGTCTCTACATGTTTTACGGCTTTACTGTGGTGGTAGTTCTTATAAAGGCCTGCACGTAGTTTTTCAGTTTGCCAACTGTCAATAAGAAGTGTAAGAAGAAGAATTTAGCTTTTTTCTGTTGGGATAAAGGTTTGCAGCTGTTGTAGTTCTGCATTTAACCAGTGGGGGGAGATGGGGTGAGGGGGGTTACTTTAGAGGTGTGTATCCCTCATTTAATCAATACATTTGCAGTGGTCTCTAGTAGGAATGAATGCCTTGTAAGTCAAACATATACCGGCACACCATTTCTCTGACCTAAAAGTTACCTACATCACAGCTGAGCTCAAGGACGTAATTTTCACTTTAGAAGTGGGGGGGGGGGGGGCACGGGGGGTATCTTTACAATATGTTCTAAGGGGAAACAGGCTTCAACACAAACGGTTGCTTTCCGCTTGGTCCTAGAGCTCAACCAGTGTCAATTTAATATAGCGTAATATTGTTTTTGGATGGTAAAAAGTGCAGGGGTCAAAACTTGACTTTGGAAAAAGTGGGGGGGACATGTCCTCCCTGTCCCCCCAAAAAATTACGTCCATGGCTGAGCTTCAGATGGCAGGTTTTTGAGTCTTATTTCCTGATATATGAACATCTCGCCTCAGGTTGGATAACAGCAGTGCAACTCTACCACTGACTTGCAATGTTGGTGGTGGTGTTGCTAATGCTAACAGTTAGCTGAAACTTTCCGAGACGTTCTCTGCCGATTACCGGTCGTTAAAACAACAGCCTTCCCCGTCGTGAGTCAAGATGGGTGAGTCCATGAATGTTAAGTGTCGTTGTGACGTAGATCTGTCAGGATTTTCAAATCCTTGAGTTTTACCGTCTATTTTCTTTTAGAAGGTAGGTGTAGGAGACTATTTTCGTGCTCAGCCTGCATGAAAAACTCAGAGTGACGGATTTTAATCAGAAAAAACATGGAAAAATGTTTTTTTTTTTGTTTTAGTCAACGACTCCTTTAAAACGGCAGCAAGACGCTTTATTCATAGGCGCACTCGGACTAGCTGTTAGCTTATCAGTCCTGATGGATGGAAACTCGATTTCTCTAAACAGAGGATGTTCAGGAAACTTTCTACAATTCATGATTTTTATACAGATACACACTTCAGAAGGGCTACCATATCCCTAGTTGGATGTTTAGATATTCTTGTCAAGCTGTGTGTCGATACTTTTACATTTTTGTGATATTTTCAAAAAATGGGACTTGATTTTTTTTTTTTTTACAAGATCTTTAGTTTTTTTGTGGAGGCAGCTGTTGGGAAAAACACTGAGTCCAACACGATTGTTTCTAAAGATTCTTAGACAGAAGTGATAACAATAAATCTAAACAGGGTAAATGGCCTGTATTTGATATAGCGCTTTCTAGAGTCCTGGAACCCCCCAAGGCGCTTTACAACACCATCAGTCAGTCACCCATTCACACACACATTCACACACTGGTGGGGATGAGCTACGATGTAGCCACAGCTGCCCTGGGGCGCACTGACAGAGGCGAGACTGCCGAGCACTGGCGCCACCGGTCCCTCCGACCACCACCAGCAGGTAATGTGGGTTGAGTGTCTTGCCCAAGGACACAACGACAGCGACAGACTGAGTGGGACTCGAACCTGCAACCTTCCGATTACGGGGCGAGCACTTAACTCCTGTGCCACCATCGCCCACATTAGGCAGCACTCTGCAGCCAACATGTCATCAGTTTCTCTACTACTATTCTTATTAATTACAGCATTTTAATAATATTGCTTTTCTTGTTTTTGTTCTATTTTTAGAAAGAAAACAAACACGTTGATAATCAGAGGGTTAGAGGGCAGTCTGAGTCCAGAGAGCCCAAACAGACCCATGGACCCACAAAACTCTGCACAGCTGGGGTCTCTGCTGAGGCCTCTAGTAGCGTGTCAACTAAAGGACCGCATCAGGACTATCTTTTAGGAGCAATACCTCACTGCTCAAAGCCGGTGTGGGACGACTGTCCGGCTGCAACCTCTGTCAAAAGGACATTTTCACACGTAGAATCAAGCCCAGAGTCGCTGGAGGTCAAAGCCAAAAAGGGAAATGCGGACTACAAGAGATGCTGTAACATTCCAGAAGATGCTGGGATGAGTCACACTGGTCTGACTGAAACATTTTCCACCTTCAAGATAGGTGGCTCCCTGGGGAAGGAGGAAGCTGTACACATCAGTCTGAAAGGCTCCAGTCCCATCGTTGTGGCTAAAAGTCTGTTCAGGGAGGTGGACGAGCCGACCGAGAACGTGTTTGAAGATGCCTTTAAAGACTCGTCACCTTTTTGCCTCGTGTCACCTCTACATGGGAACGCCGACATGTGCCGGAGCTTGAGTCTAGACCCTGACGGATCCATGCATGACACGTCTCTCCCTCTGGACATCCATCCAAACAAATCGGCAGAAACTTCTGCTTCTTACGCCGAAAACGAGGACAATGAGGGCTCATCAATGATGGAGACTGTTGCTATGGTAACCCCGGGAGGTGAATCTCCGCTTTCCCTCAGTCGACTCGCTGATCCTGTGCGGAGTGTTGCAGAAGTCCCCCTGGTCCTCCGGCAGCGAAACGCAGTGGTTTTCCGCAGCTACTGCAGCTCCATCAATCGCTCCAGCGTGTTGGGAGGTTCCAGGCTCAGTTTAGGATCAGTGGAGACCATGGATGTTTCCACACCCGCGTCTTATCACTCAGCCCTTGGTGCTGCCACACCCGTGCAGCAATGCCGTAACTCCAACAGCTCCGCTTATCAGGTTGGTGCAAGAATATGAAATGTACAATACCGTATTTATTAAAATTATTTTAAGTTCCACTTTGAAAGCATGCTTTTATTTTGTAGCAGCTCTTTTCTGCTTTTATAGCAGCTCTGTTTGTTGCACACTTCGTTGACCAAGTGTATCAAGTTTAGTTAGTGTCTGTAGGTTTTAGCGAATTCTGAAGGCAACAAAAATATTTATTTCATATATTTTTTATTTTAAGTAGGAACAAACGTTTGTAATTTATAAAGATTCTAGTATAATAAAACTTTTTACAAGCTTTATTTACCACTAAACAGCTCCACTCTGCCCCCTGCTGATCTAAACCAGGGTCTGCAGTTTTCTTAAAAACGTGAACTCTGGCTGATTCTTAATGAATTTAGTTAAATAATCTTAATTTAAATATCTAGCGAAGTAATCCTGATTGCAATGCACCAGTTCAGATTTTGAAGGCCAGTACTTCTTTTTGATACTGATATTGACCATTTCTGATTCATCTCAAAGATATTTAATAGAATATCTATAATTCCTCAATAATTGATCTATAATTAATAGAATACACCCTTTAAAAAGTTCTGATGAACTAAAAACTTATAAATCTGAAATAAAAACAATTCCAAATAATTTTTTGCTAGCTTGAATTAGCTCTTACGTTTAATCAGATCGTCCAGACACTCATTGAGCTGACTGTGCTGACTAGTCGATTCCAGTCTAGTGCATCTCTAATAATTTCTTCTATAATCATAAACTGATTTTAATCCAGTACACTTTTTTGCACTTTGTAAATCTTTAATACTTCTTAAAATTTCTGTTTGACCTTCAGACTCCCCAGCCTGTGTCGACCTCCCACACCCCTTACAGAACTCCAAAAAGCGTCAGACGGGGTGCGCTTCCTGTTGAGGGTGCACCGATCTTGGGAACGCCGGATTATTTGGCTCCAGAGCTGCTGCTGGGAAAGCCACACGGTAAAAGAGAGAGCCTCTGACACCCGACGAATCCAGTCTAAGAGTAAATGCTGCTTCACGGTGCAGCTCTTTATGACAGGAATTCTGCTTTAGTTGCAGGAAGTGTTCAGTTTGGTAAGTTTGGAGCATTATTCTTGCATGCCCTGCCCCCTCCCATCCCAGGCTGCTAATGCATTTGAGGAAATGTGCTGATTCCTGCCCTTCTGGGTTAGAAGGAGGTGGTTTGAAGTGTCTAACTGGACATTTACTTTAGTGTTCTACAGGGTATCTGCAGGTCCTTAAAAAGTCTTAAAAAGTCTTAAATTAGCTTTTCCAAATTTAAGGCCTTAAAAATCCTTAAAAATGACAAATAATCCTTAAATAGTTTCCAAAGGTCTTAAATTACCAAAGACCCAATAAAAAGATTCTTTTATTTCTATAAAATTTTCGTGAATTTCTAGTTAGTTTGGCATTTTTTGTGTATGATACTGGCGTAAGTGGAACCGTATACATTCAATTGGTTGTGAAAGGGGGCTATTTTTAGATGAGCACGCTAGTGGGAGTTTGCGCCATGGGGAAGACATGGCAACATTAATGGTAACTGGATGGCTAATCCCACATTCACGGCGTGGTTAGCACCTGTTCCAGGGAATAGCTGGAAATTATAGCTTAAATTTAATTTAAAAAATAGCTTAAATTTGGTCAAAGTGGCCTTAAAAAAGGTCTTTAAAAGTCTTAAATTTGGCTCCCTTAAACCTGCAGATACCCTGGTTCTAACATTCATCTAATAGCGGGGGGGGGGGGGGGGGGGGGGTTGCTTAACAGGACAGACGGTTCATTTCCTGCTTTTAAAAATTTGGTGTCAGCGTGCTGGAGCGCTTTCATCGCTGCATAATCATAAACACGTGCTGTCGTGAGGTATTTATTCATCATAACTCCACTGATAAATGACCGTTTTAGCTTTGCAGCCAGAACCTCAAATATTCCTTCCTTGTGCAGTAGATGCTGAACTGCCTGTGCGGATGCAAGCGGACGTTTGCATTAGGGGTAGACCGATATATTGGGCTGATATTTACCGTTTTTATACACTGGCCGATATTTGTCCTTAGGAAAGCCGATTTAAACTCAGCACATCTCCACGCAGCCCGGTGCTGTTCCAGAATTTATTTCAAATGCAATTTTTTACATTCACTAATAACATCTGCATAATAAATAGTACTCTAACTTTATTTAGGTGTCTGACTTTAATACTGAGAAGTGCAGTTAAGATTTGTCAGTTAAATTCAGAGTTCAGAAACTGATTCAGCTTCAGAAATTTTGAGCATCAGCTGATGTTATTAGTGACGTTTCAGCATGAAAATAAGGTGGAAAATATCTATCCATGAAAATCGGCCCATAAAAATCAGCAGTACACATCGGCCATCGCCGGACCAATTCTCCTACACATCTGTATCGGCATTAGAAAAACAATATCGGTCGACCTCTAGTTTACATCTCACAGGAAACTCGGATGAGAAATAAACTTTCATCCTTTTCCTCCCAAACAGACTGCATGGTGGACTGGTGGGCGCTTGGCGTGTGTCTGTTCGAGTTCCTCACCGGCGTTCCGCCGTTCAACGACGAGACGCCTCCGCTGGTTTTCCAGAATATTCTCAACAGGGGTGGGTTTGTTTTTTTCCTGTTAGCATAAAGCTGGCTTTTAGGATCTCTAATATTTCACCACTTTTTTATTAGACATCCCCTGGCCAGAGGGAGAGGAGGAACTGTCTGTAAACTCCAGGAACGCCATCGAAATCCTGCTCACCATGGAGATGACCAAGCGTGCAGGTCTGAAAGGTAACAGCCCCATCTTAAAACATCATCTTTGCATAATTTTAAGCAAAACGTTTTCTGAAAAAAAAAATTCATAATTATTTTTCAAAGTTAATTAGAAAAGCTTTAACATTATTTTAATACTTTGGAAGGAATTAGCAAAATAAAACCCTATAATATGTGTAGTTGTTTACCGATAGTATTATTTAGTGTAAAAATATTAAATTAAAAATTCATTTATTTAATAAGTTTTCTATTCTTATTCTTTAATGTTTTAAATTAAAGCACCTTTTGCAGGTTTTCAATTTGGTTGTTTCTGATTCTTCAGCTAATTGACTAATTTCCCATAAATTAATAAGATTTGTGTTAATGATTAAAAACTAAAATATAGTTATCAATAAAATAATAAATTTAATTTGAGCAATTATTTTTATAACATTTGGTACAACTGAAGAAATATTTACTAGGACCGTGACTTTAACGCGTTAATTGATTAATTAATTTGAAAAAATGATGCGTTAAAAAAATTAAGCCATTTAATCACAGCTTGCATTTCGAGCAAGGCGGAACCTTTGTCATCGCACGATTTCCTCGTAGACCGAAAATCACTGACACACACAACAATGCACAGCCCTAATGGCTACTAAAATGGAATAAAAACAGAAAGAAGTTGCCTTGCTTGGACTGATGCTGGATTTAGGAAACACGTCCGCCTCTTTTCTTAACTTGGAAAAAAAACCTTTCAGACAACAACGGAGTCCGTGTCGCGGACATTTTTCAGAGATCGTCTGCTGCGGCTGCCCGGTGGCACCGGAAACTTTACAAAAGTTGCGGTTATCTATATTTTTAACATTTACGTAACATCTGTGCAGCGCTGAAAGCACCAGACAGAATAATTCTGTGCCCTAACAGTAGTTTATGAAAGTAGTCAGACAAACGAGAGGCACCTGGCTGCCGCTGGGAGAACGCTCCGTGTTCTACTTGATTTGGGTCTTGTTTCATATCACACAGTGACATTTGAATAATTAAAATGCATTTTTTAATTTAAAAGCTTTATTTTACAGTAATAACCATGTCTAATGTTTGATTCTCTGTCTCATAATTTTATTTAAAAGTTTTGCTTTGAGGGCACATTTTTCTGAACGATTAAAATGCGATTAATTTAGATTAATTAATTACAAAGCCTCTAATTGGATTAAAATTTTTAATCGAGTTCCGGCCCTAATATTTACATTTAATTAAACAACTGACTTTAAAGAGCCCAACTTGTATTAAATGGATGTTATGGTTTAATTAAAGTTTATGGTATATTGATAACATTTATAATACAGTAAATTTTCGATATATTTTAGGCAGTAGAAAATTCATGAATTCTGTTTCCTCTGATATTATGTTTTTTAAGTTGTGCAGATGATAAAAATAACTCATTTTTATTTTAAATTGATCAAATGACTGACAGGAGACCTGTGCTGCGTGTCCTCCATCGCTTGCCCAGAGAACCTAGTGAGGGCGAAGCGAATACGGTCGATGAGTGTCTGATTAGTTTTAGTTTTGTTCAATATTTTGAACCTCCACCAGAACTCCGAAGCCACCCCCTGTTTGACGGCCTGGACTGGGATGACCTGCAGAACCAGCCGATGCCGTTCATTCCTCAGCCGGAAGACGAAACCGACACCTCGTACTTTGAGGCGAGGAACAATGCTCAGCACATCGCCGTGTCGGGATTCAGCCTGTAGCTTCAGCTGGACGTGTGTGAGGAGGGTTTCTAAACGGCACCAATTTTAAAATTAATAATCTATTTAGGACAAAATCAGAGTCCTATAAATAAACGAGTTAATGGTTTTGATGGTTTATCTGCTCTGATTCTTTTAGGTTTTAAATTAAGTGCAATGAGGCTGTTATAAATAATATTCTGTTCTCTGTTCTGTTTAACCTGCTGCTGATTTTCATGTTTATTTTGTCTTCCTCTCTTGTTTTAAATGTCCCAGCTGTTGTACTTGGGTGGGCGTGTCCCTTAAAGGGCCGGAGCGCTGTTAAAGAAACAACTTTAATATATTATTTTTTTAAATCTTGTAATGATCAGATTGTAGCAGTGGTCACTGCTTTTTTTTTCCATTTTCCACACTACAAATGAATGTCTTTTGACTTTTTTTTTCTTTTTACATTTTTCTCTAAGAAAAAAGAGAAAATATCAATTAATTTGTACCAATTTCCCTTGGGTATCAAAGTAATTTCAATAAACTCTAAATTTGATTTCTATGTGGGTAAAATTTCATTTTTTCTACAAATGTGACAAAGTACATAACATATTCTTATTATTAGCAGTTTAAGGCTAACCTTTCAACAGGAGATGATTAATCTTACAGCCAGAAGTAAAAGCAGCAGAATAAATTAATTACTAATGTATCCCAAAATTATCCAAACATGTTTGTTAAAACTTTATTTTCGGCTGCGATCATCACATGCAAACCCCTCCCTGCAGGCAGAGCGGGTAGGAAAGCTGCAGTACATTTCAGTAAAAAGGTAAACCACTTACTATTTTTATTAAAACATATTTGCTCTTAAAAGATAAGCAATAATTCATATATTAATCTACATTAATACACAGATGCAATTAAAATATTGCATTTTGATCTGAACTGTACAGCTACCGTTTACAATTAGTAGACACCTCTGCAAATGCTAACAAGGATCTTTGTTTACACACAAATTAAATACATTAGGAAGTGTTTAACGAGGAAGTAAACAAAAACAAGTGTTACGCAGTCGAGATAATTTGGTCCGAATCAGGAAGGAAGGCTAAAATTATGTCATCTACAGTATAAATGTGCCTTACAATGACGATGAGGCACTTTTTCTACGTTGAAAATGTGGACGTGACGCAGGATGATTAATCATTTAAAATAATTTAGCAAACAAAAAAACATTATACATCTGAAATCTGGCCCTTATTTTGACTTATTAAATGTAATAAATATTCTAAGGGAAGAGAATCACATCAGCACAGCATTAAATTCAATCTTCACTTATATCCTACAGTTCTTACATTTTATTATTATAGCAGCATCACATGGGTAACTAATGAAGCTGTGAGAATCTGCCGTTTTACCAGGACAGAAACGGATTCCAGTACAGTATTAGGACTAGATCACAAGCCCGTACATTCGTGTTCCCCGTTGAAGCCATGTCCGCGGTGCAGCAGCAAGACTCCTTCTGATCATTCCTCAAAATCCTTCTTCGTAGTGCAAAAAGCAAATTACTGGGCTGTGAGTTGAATTAGCAGGAAAGAGGAGGTTGTAGCCATTAGCGTTAGCTCAACCGAAGTCGTTTACGGGACTTTGGATCAGTTTCCACGTCTGAAAATAGGAAAAAATGTGTGTCAAATGAAGTTTGAGATAAAAAATAAATAAAAACAGGTTTTTTTTTTTTTAAACAAACAACTATACCTTCGCCGTCTCTGAAAGTACAGACGGATGAGCCACTGGACCACAAATGGCCAGATAACGGCGAAAGCCAAACTGGTAGGTGAAATGTCAAAAGGCCACCAGGAGGGTTTCTGTTAAAAAACAAACAAGCAGAAGCTGTTTTATTTCACAATCTTTTCATTTAAAATTAAAAACAACATTAAATACATTTTTTACCTGATTCTTCTTTTTCACAGGAGATACAAATGCAGGAGAAACGGCACCGGATCTCGCCTACGAAAAAAGAAAATTTAGTCAAAGATAAACTCGGCAAGCTTCTGAAAACATGAATAATTCTCTGACGTTTCCAGAGTCAAAGTCCAGACTTCTTATCTTCTCGTCCTCACACTAAAAACACGGTTTACTGCCTAAATGCTGAGTTTAGGTCTGATAACAATAAATAATGATTCATCCATGTTTATATTGTCTCCCTGAGCCGTGATGCTTTGCAGAACAGGAAAAACTCTGAAGATGCTTCTACCTGGCCGGCCGTGAGAGCCTCCAGGGTGCGCAGCCTCTCCAGAACACTGTGCATGTCTTCCTGTAGTCTGGCCAGCGCCACCACAATCTGCTCATTCAGGTTCGCTCCGGGTGTCCCTACACCTCGCCAGCGCTCACCGCCACCGTCTCCACCATTGTCTGCCGGCATCAGAGGTCCTGAACCGAGGCCTGGAGACCTGGAAACTAAAATACATGCCATTCTTTTCACTTCTAAGTGTTTTATTACTATTTTACATCAAACTGAACACAAATGCATTCAAAGAAACACTCGTACCCTGTCCTCTCCTGGACGAGGAGCTGCCCGACACATTCACATTCAGCGTCTGTGACCTCGTCCCATCTGCCTCCCCTTCTTCTCCTCCACACTTGATGACTTCTAGAGGAGCATCCTCCTGCACCTCCACAGGCAGCAGGGCGTGGCTCTCCTCCTCCTCCTCCTCCTCCAGGTCATCCAGAGAACGGTTGTGCTCGGAGTTCTGGAGAAAAAAAAACAAAGATTGATTTTTTTTTATTATTTCATGAATAGCACACAGTCCAGAATTCTTGTTCTGCGTTTGCTTGCCTCTTCTTGGCCAAACTGGTCCACAGAGTCACAATATACTTCACTATCAGAGTCACTGGCCAGGTGACTGCTTCCTGCATCTGTAATGAAAAGGTTAGGGTTATCTGCAGCTCTCAGAATGAAGCTTAGCAGATTACCTGATCACATAGACTTTAATGATCCCACAGTGGGAAAATTCACTTGTTACAGCAACACTTAACCCTTTAAGCGCCAAAGTTGGAGAATTGCGACAAGCAGCAATGTTGGATTTAATAAGCCGTAGCAGCAGAAATGAGCTCTCATGAAGATAATATGTTACACTGCGGGGTGGCAGACACCTGTAACTTCAATCCAAGCAGCATTTGTGGGTGTGTTACCATTGAAACTTTTCGAGTATTTAGAACTTGAACCCAGCCCACCAGTCGCAGAGCCGCAGGGCTTGTCAGAACAGTCAGATCGAGTGAGAGCCAGCGAGTGGCATAGGAAAAAACACAATGCCGAGAGGAATGTTCAGAGCTGACGAAGCTCTTCGTCTAGTACTGGCAGATTCGGATTAGGAAGAAGAATGTTTCCTGTCCGAGGATGATCTGCCGTCTTCTAGAGAGACGGAAAGAGACAGGTAGAAGCATCAGCCTGACGGACTCTCTGTTGCTGCGCGCTGACGGCGTCCGCGACGACACGGTTACACAAGCAGCCCATCCAGCCCTTATCTTGTCCGATGTTCCGCGTCGGGCAAAGAGAGACGTGGCGGGGGGTGGGGCCCGTACCGGGTCTGATTCTTTGATCCAACATGCCAGGGGGGATGTGGTGGCGGTGATCGGGCCGGTGAAAACTCCGCTGGTGATCAATTCAGCCCCTATCTATCTATAAATGTATATATATACACACACACATATATATATATATATGTGTGTGTGTGTGTATATATATATATATATATGTATATATATATGTATGTGTATGCATAACAAAATACCAATAAAGTAACAAATATTATATAAATATATATATATATATACATACATAGTTATGTATGTCTACGTGGGAATATGTATATATGTATCATAAACAATATTAACACTAAGAAAATAAGACAAAAACATAAATAAATAAAAAAATCTGCAAATGGGATGCAATCCAATATGGCTGCTATCTGATGACATCATAATATGCAAATTATGTGAGTGAATTTGTTCCTATCACAAAATTTGGCTCATACTGAAGATTTTTCTAATTTACAATATTCCTCTATCTCTAACCAGATTTAAGCTACAAGCTCTTTAAAAAGTGATATAAAAAGTCATATTTTACTGTAAAAACTATGGCGCCTAATGGGTTGAGAATAATTTGAAGAAAAATAATAACAAAGGTACATAAATATACACACAGGCTAGTATTGTAACTTTCAACTGATAAAAACCCTGAATAAAAAAGTAAAAACTTGGAAAAAATACTTGACCTGCTGATACCTGTATGCACACACGTGTGTGTAGACCAGGCCTATTCAAATGGCGGCCCGTGGGCCACATCCGGCCCGCGGGCCCTACCCAGCTGGCCCACCTCACCCGATCCCCCAACCACCAACGGAAAAAAAACTTTTGAAAAACTGTTTAAGCATGCAAGTTTCTAAATTCCCACACTGATATTGCACTTGAACACAACACCATTTTATCAATCACGGACATATATACGTAGACGCCCCGTGGACTGGTGCTGTCTATTGGAGCTGCCATAGTGTGGCTTCTACATATTCATGTCTATGTCAGCTGTGACCCAGCAATGACCCAGCCCAGCTTGTGGAGCAAACAAGCGCCTTTCAGGCAAAACTAAACATGTTCGCAACTGACTTGACTGGTGAAAGAATGCTACATTTTCCCACACTCCGTAAAGCCACCTCTCCTCCGAAAGTCACGGCAGAAATGACTGGTTTAGTCGCGAAACTGAAGGACAACTTCACCAGTCGCCTGGAGGATCTGTCACTTCCTACAGCGGCGATGCAATTAACGAAAGATCCATTTGCTGCCACCGCTGAGGAAACATTGTCCATCAAAGCTAAGAAAGTGGTCTCTTCTATCGAAGAGGGACAGTTCCTGCTGGAGATGGTGGACATGCAGTCATCACTTACGATGCCACAAGAGCTGCGCACAAATGGCCCTGCTAAGTTTTGGAGTCAGATCAATGCCCATCAGTTCCCAAACCTCAAGAATGTAGCTGTGACTGTTCTCAGTATGTTTGGATCCACCTATATTTGTGAATCCAGCTTTTCCCATATGAATAGGGATGGGTACCTTTGACATTTGAATCGATCCGGTACTAATTCCCGGTACCTACGAATCGATACCGGTACTTAACGGTACCAATTTTCGATACTTTTGAGTGTTTAATATTTTAATTCTCTTTTATAATTAAATATATATTTTTCTCAACAATATTTGACATATATCACGATAAATAACATACAACTGTTTGTATTTTAACATCGTCCTTGTAGTTTTATAAGCTGATAATTAAACTGAAGCAAACCTCTTTACTGTGAACTAAGTTTACTGTGTATCTTCATTCCTTTTGCCGTCTTTTTTCATTTGATTTTTCCTACTGGGAAGCTAGAATTTCCGGGGAAAAAGCAAACGCACCATTAGCTGATAACAACGGTGGCAATGGAAGCTAACATATCAAGCTAACGTTATCTTAAACAGTTTATTTAGCTGCTGGAGCAGATTAAAACGATGATGCCTCACACTTAGATCGTTGTCACTGGTTTCATCTTCACCCAATCACCCGTCGCATTTAGTAAAGTGAAGCCAAACTTTAGAGCGCGTTCATGTTCTTCTAGTCAGAAAATCGGAGTTCCGAGGAGAAAGCGAACGCACCATTAGCGAAACGGAAGCTAACATATCAAGCTAACGTTATCTTAAACATTTTATTTACCTACCGGAGCAGATTAAGATGAGGATGTCTCACTTAGATCGTTGTCGCTGGTTTCATCATCACCCAGTTACCCATCACATTTAGTGAAGTGGACCCAAGCTTTAGCCTGCATTCTTTCTACCATGCTGCTCTGTTTACAACTCGCTCGCAGGGACCGACGACATAACGCTCTTGCGCATGCACAGCTGTCTTGGCAAGTTCTCGTTATGAAGGACGGGTACCGAAACGAGGCACCGTTTGAAATGACGTCAATCGGTGCTCGGTCGGTACTATGGAATTCGGTACTCATCCCTACATATGAATGCAATCAAAACAAACCTGCGCTCCTCTCTCACTGAACCCTTTCTGCACTGCTGTCTGCGCATTGCACTCAGCTCCTATGAGCCAAATATTCCATTTCTTGTTCAAAACAAAAAGTGCCACCTCTCGCACTAAAGTTGCAAGAATAACGGTCGAGCTATGGTTATTGTCAATGTTTATTTAGTAGCTGCGACTGAGTTATTGGAGGTTAATAAAACAAATGTTTGTATTACCAGCTCTGCAGCTGGTAAATTAATACAGATCATTAAAGCAATAAAAGACATTGTGCATTGCTTTTTTTGTCGTTGTATTAGTGGTAGAGGTAATATCGGTCAAAATATTAAAATTTAATATTTAAACATTGTCCGTAAAATATATAATTAAGATTTGGGTATCCGGCCCAAAGCTGATCCACGATTTGGAAATCTGGCCCAGTAGGGAAAGTAATTGAATAAAGTAAATCATGTCTTTTTTACCGGGGTGGTGTCCGTTGAGCAGAAGCTCGCTGTCTGGGCCTTCCTGAGAGTCGTCACTGTTTAGAGCAGCTCTGGCGAGGCTCCCATTGGTCGCATGGCTGACCCCATTAGAGAGTTTTCCATTCTGGAGGGATGGTTTGTGTCTCCTGGCTGAACTCTTCTTCTTTGGCTGTGACGCTGCAGAAAAAGGAGGAGAAACCTCTAAATGTTCTCTGAGAATAATTTCATACATTTTTTTCTATAGCTCAAAAAAGAAGCCCTTACTTTTTCTAACTTCCATTATCTCTTCATTTTCCTCATCCTCCTCTTCCTCCTCCTTCTCCTGCTCGATCCTGGCAGGTCGGGTCTCCAGCGTTCCGTTCATCTCCATGTTTCTGATGATGCTCTTTGCAACGTTTTTTGATTCCAGTGAAGTCATCATTGTTCCAAATCCTGAGCAGATTTATTAGACTTTAATACAAATATCCAAAATTTTAAAGTAATTAAAAAACACTACCTACAACTACAGACTCCACCCGAATCCCTCGGCTAATAAAATAGAAAAATAATTATTTTTTTAAATCTCATCAATCATATGAAACAGACTTTAAAACCTCTCTAACATAACCCAAGCTACATCTTTGCACTAACATATCCAACAGAGCTGTTATAAAGCATTAAATGAGCTACTACGCCACGCCATTTCTAATCTACATCAACACCAGGGTATCTGCAGGTTTAAGGGAGCCAAATTTAAGACTTTTTAAGACCTTTTTTAAGGCCACTTTGACCAAATTTAAGCTATTTTTTTAAATTAAATTTAAGCTATAATTTCCAGCTATTACCTGGAACCGGTGCTAACCACGTAGTGAACGTGGGATTAGCCATCCAGTTACCATTAATGTTGCACTTCCCCATGGCGCAAACTCCCACTAGCATGCTCATCTAAAAATAGCCCCCTTTCACAACCAACCGAATGTGTACGGTTCCGCTTACGCCAATATCATACACAAAAAATGCCAAACTAACTAGAAATTCATGAAAATTTTATAGAAATAAAATAATCTTGTTTATTGGGTCTTTGGTAATGGTAATTTAAGACCTTTGGAAACTATTTAAGGATTATTTGTCATTTTTAAGGATTTTTAGGGCCTTAAATTTGGTAAAGCAAATTTAAGACTTTTTAAGGACCGGCAGATACCCTGAACACACAGCATGTGTAAACAGTCATATACTCGCCTTCCAGTTGCCTAGCAAACTGAGTCAAACGGGCTGAGCACATAAGAGGCAAACTTTATTAGACTGTATTCTGACTGGTTTCTGATACATTAAAGTGAAAGGTGGAGGAGGGAACTCTACCCGCGCTCAGGTCTGATATCTGTGTGACTTTTTTCTTCTCGTCAACGAGCTCGTAGAAAGGGCCGAGGACGCGCAGCAGCTCCTCCACCTCGTCAGTCATGGGCATGCCCTCCAGAATCTACAAAATCAGCTCTGTGTTTATTTAAAATCCATCAAGTGTAACAGTATCAAAACGAGGGAACTTACCAGCTTCATCTGATCAACATATGCCGCCATTGCTTCTTCCTTTGCCATATCTCCTAGAGAATTCCAGGCATCCCTGTTATGATAGGTGGAAGAAAAAAAACTGTTTTATCCATTTATCATATGAGCACAGCTTTATCTAAACATCTGTAACTTCTGAGCCACTTTACAGCTTTGTAAACAAGGGGTGGGTTATCTGAGGTCAAAGTGTTCCTTGCAAAACTGAGGGTCAAAGACTGACGTAAACTAATCAAAGTTGTTTGGGAGAGCGAGAGAAGCCGTCCAGCTCAGTGGGTGAGGAGGCACATTCCAATCAAGAGTCGGGAAATCATCACAAACACTACTCCAGGCTACACTGCCGAAGGGAATGTTTGAGTCTGGAAAACATCAAACTGGCTCATTTCTTAAGGGTTTACTGCAACCATCACTGTTGCATAATCAGACAAACATGAAACAAACACAGAAAATACAAAAGGAAAATCCTTGGACTAACCATTTAGCTTTGCCAACTGCATCCCAGAAGCCAGGTCGTGGTATGTTGCAAGCTCCTATAGTGGCTTGTTTATAGTAACTGTAGAACTTGAGCATGATGTCATTGGAAGGCTGGAAGGGACCTGAGAAAAGAAAATCTGGTTTTATGGTTTTTTATCTCCTAAAATACCCTCAGCCCTAAGGTAAAGCAGGCTTTGAATCACTTGAGCTGCTGCAGGAAAAGCAAGGCTGCCCTGCTGTCCGCTTGTAAAGTGGATTAGCTAAATCACAAGCTGCTACTGCAGCTCCCCAGTTTCGAAGGCATTCTGGTTAAATTGGCTGTTGTTACTGCCGCAGACTGGTGTAGTCACTCACCATTTGGGGGTAAACTCTTGATCACTTTCACGGCAGCGTCGAACCTCATCCGAGTCAAACGATTTTCTTCTTCCACGCTCACGCGCTCCACCTCCATGGTGCCAATCAGGAAAAAAAAGCTAACACAACACCTAACGCATCAAATTATAACAAGACAAACGGAGGTTTTGAGTGACTGGATGACAACAATCGGTTTGTTTTGACAAATAAGTCGGAGATTAAGCTAGTTGTGGGACGAGAACTCGCGCGTGACATAGATTCATGTATCCTAAGTTAAATGCTAACATTGCTAGCAAACGTTTACAAGAAATGCTCTGAACAGATAAGTCTTACCGTTAAATTAATTCTGCCTAACTATTCGTCAGCGAGCAACTTGCCCTTAGCTCTACGACAGACGCCATGAACAGCAACTAAAGCTAGCCTAGAGTATTCTGTGAATTGTAGTTTTACAATACTCAAAATGCCTACAAAATCCACAATCCTGCGCGGTGCAAAGATGTATAAATTTTTATTTAAATAGCTAATATACAGCAGCACAACGTAGTCATTTTGTTTCAACATTTAAAAAAATGTTGAAATTTGGAAAAATAGCAAATATAATTTAAATGTCGTTTAAGATGCGCTTAGTTTAAGCGTCTAAACTACACATCCCAGAATCCTCTAGACCAACGCTCTGCATAGAGCTTGATAGGCACAGAACTAAAAAATTGAAGATGTCTCACTTGGTAATGTTTTGTCAGTGCTAAAGCCAAATCGAACAAATAAATAAAGTACCAAATTATATATTCCTCAACCAAATAATTGTCTTTTTCATGAAAATGATTTATTTATTAACTTTTGACAATGATTAATGAATGAACACATTACCAAAACATAGAACATAAATAACTTGTATTCAGTTTGTTTTGATGCTAATGAAAATTCTCTAAAAACATCAAAATGACTGCGCCACTGCGCAGCCATTTGTGGTTAGAGCTAGAGCTGTTGCCTTGCAGCAAGAAGGTCCTGGGTTCGCTTCCCGGCCTGGGATCTCTCTGCATGGAGTTTGCATGTTCTCCTCCCACAGTCCAAAAACATGACTGTTGATTGGTCTGTCTAAATTGTCCTTAGGTGTGTGTGTGTGTGTGTGTGTGTGTGTGTGTGTGTGTGTGTGTGTGTGTGTGTGTGTGTGTGTGTGTGTGTGTGTGTGTGTGTGTGTGTGTGCATGATTGTTTTTCCTGTGTGTCTCTGTGTTGCCCTGTGATGGACTGGCTCTCTGGGGTGCCCTCTGGGGGCACTCTGGGTGTACCAGTCCCCACGCGACCCTACATGGACAAGCGGGTTCAGACAATGGATGGATGGATGGGTGGATGGATGGATGGATAAATCCGGGTCTGTTCTAAATAGGAAAACAGTTGGACACGAGATTATTAGCACAATCATTTGATAAACTAAATGTAAGAATATAAAAAAGAAAAAAACAACAACAAGCGATAGAAACACAGGCGGGATCACACAAAATACAACCTGAAATGAGGTTTGAGCTGTCAAAGATAATTAATCGAAAGGAGTGAGGTCTCTTCTTTGACCACACGATCTTTGCTCACAAATTCAGGACAAGAATCCCACAATAGCAGGCGGAAGAGTTTTTTTTTCTTTCAACGCAGAACTGGGCTGGTGGCTGGCTGCTTCAATCAAAGGGAAGGGAGGCAGAGGGAAGGGAGGCTCTGCGGGGAGAGATGTAAGATGGCAGAGCTACAAATGTTGTTAGAGGAAGAGATTCCGGCCGGCAAAAGAGCGCTCGTGGAGAGTTACCAAAATCTGACCAGAGTAGCGGACTATTGCGAGAACAATTATGTTCAGGTAAGTAAAGTAGCCACCACGTTGCAGCTTTTCTATCCGCCTTTTCTGTCAAGAAAGCTCCCGGTTGGAAGCTTGTTGGGACAGGAAATGTGCATAAAGAAACTCGTCCTGGTCGCGAGGAGCTCTAAAAGCTCCGAATTCCAACAGCAGTGGAACGGTGACGCTTTTACGGCCATGGAACGTTTTAATATCTTCTGTTGGTCAAATCGATCCCGTTTATACAGAGGGTGTGCCTTACTTTTTTCCTGACTGCTCTGGGTCGGTTCAAACTACTGATGGAGAGGCCTGGATGTTTTACGTTTGTTACAAGCTCTAGAAATGCGTGTGTTTTATTTTAGAAGGTAAACTTAATTGTCAGCAAAACTACAAGCATCCATGATGTCTCATTACACCCCATGAGGTCATTAAACTCACCATTTAGTACCACAAAAACAATTCAAGCCTCCATTGGGATCCCATTACATTGGTGGTATAGTAATGCCTACATTATTGGAGCAGTAAGCACTCAGTACCAGTGATGTCATGTCAGGGCATGGCTTTCATTATTGCTGCGTTATTTTACATTATTTTATTGTCTATAAACTTAGAATTAAGATGTAGGGAGCTATTTGTTGTTGATAGATTATCAAGAAGTGGGCTGAAATGGAGATTGACTATGAAATCAGTCTAAATTTGTCAGTAAAGGGTAGGAAAGATTGTTTGAAAATGGGAACACATCGGTTTTTAATCCTTGTTATCCCTTTTTTCATAGAAAAGCTGTTTATTTTGGGGGATTCTTGTATTTGCTTTTAATTCTGATGTATACTTTGGAGAAATTTGACCATATATCATGCTGCAAAGTGTTGACACCCGCTAATCATATCTAAGATAAACCAAGCTGTCCTTTGAAAGCAGTAGAGCATTTTTTTTTCTCAACAGAAACCCACCATATCAGCTACAGCGGGTGTGTCCTTTCCAGCTGTACTCCCCAAGGACTCCCTGTAATTTAGTTTCCTTCTCTGTCTTTGGATGATTTTACGCCGTGAGGTTCTGCCCTGAAGTCTGACTTTAGGAGAAGATGAGTCAGGAAAACTTTGTTTCCTGCAGTTAGAGTAGCGGAGTCTAACCAAACGTGGGAGTTTCCTTGTTGTGGATTCACCACAACCTGCTGTAACATGAGACGGAGACGTTGCAGTCAGATTTCCAACAGCGACACAATGCTGAGAAAATGGTGTGATTAGATTCCTGGTTGGGGAATTTTGTTACCTCCCGTGCTAATGTTTAACTATGTGGCTTTTGCGTTAGACTGCAGAAAAACAGCTTCACCATTTCTAATATTTCCTCACTTCTCGGAAGAAAGGATTCCATCACTGGATGGGTTTTAATGCAGCACTTAGTATATAATCATTTATCTAGCACTGATTTTAAGTCCAATTCAGGATAGCTGCCACAGCCAGTCAATATTAGCAAACACAAAAATGTCTCCAACTCAGTCAGATCTTAAGATAAAAATCTTAGCTACTCATCAGTAGCTGAGAGTCTTCTACAACACGAATTGCTCCAGATTAAGTCAGATTTTGTGGTATTGTGTAAGTTTGACTCAAGTGATCGTATGCGTTGCCTCACAGAATCTTTTTTTAAAATAAGATTTGATAGCTTTTCTTTTTTGTTTTATAATGCAAGCCTTTTTTTGACACATTTTTCATTTGGAACATTTTAAATAGGTGGGAATGGGGCAAAAGCATCAGATCGTCAGATTATGTTTATTATTATTTTTTTTACAGTGAAATCATAATTTTATCACAGTTATACATGAATTTTCCCATTGTGACATGTCATATTATGATACTGAATCAATTTTTAAAATCAGTGTATTGATAATGCAAACATTTACTGAATTTCTTTTATGGGGTGCAATTCCAACTCTGACAGCTAGATGGCAGCAGTTTTTCTTGCCTTCATTCTGACGGAAGAAGAATTTGCGATATTACGGAATGTGTCCTGGAAGCGTCTGGCTTGAATGTTCCAAATATATCTAATTTAAAAAATTACAAAAATCATCTGGCTTTTAGTCTCACAATGTCCTATCTTCTCCCCTTTATTATGAAACATATCGTATCACCAGATTCTTGCCAGTACACACCGCTGCATTTTAAACTATTGTCTTTTGTTTGATTTTCTTTTACTGAAAAAAATTAACCACATAATTTCTCTGTTGAAACAGCCCTAAAAGGCAGAAAATGGCCATAATTAGTAATTAGCTGCCTTATGCTAACATACGCTAGTAACGCTAACATATTGACACAGTTGGTAATTGTCCTGGTTAAGTCATGTTAAAAGGTAAATTTCATCACCAAGTAAACACATTCTTTATTTTTACAAGTACTCACTAAAGCAATCAGGCTCAGTGTGTCACGTTTAAAGTGGTCCGGGTAGAAACCTATTCTCAGTTCCAACTCTTTCTATTAAGTATAAATATGATGATTTCATATCTGCATATCGCCATTCCTGATTTTAACTCATTCACTGCCAGCCGTTTCCTGATCAGTAAAGCTCTTAGCTGCCATCGTTTTTCTGTGTTTTTACTGTTTATTTTTAAAGAGTCACAGAACGTTTTGCGCTAGCATGATGTTGACGCCAAAACTAACAAAACAAAAAGGAGACACCTCTTAAGGAAGAAACCGCGTCTTTCGAGCGTTATCCGTTCTTTCATAATCTGTCGAATTGTGATCGGCAGAAGCTTTTTGGTTTGCGCCTCACTTTATTTTTACAGCAGTAGCCCAAAACGATCTCCTAACACATGGATGTTCTGCTTCCTGATCATGTGACGTGTGACGTATGCGGATGAAGATTTAGAGCTGGGATGTTTGTTTGTTCTCATGATGCGGGGCCTCGTTCTGACGCCCACACAGTAAAAAATGCAAATGACGACTTTAGACTTTAGTCGTCATTGACAGTGATTGAGTTAAGTATGTAACCATTCTTGTTTTTATAAATAGATTTCTTTTTTTTTTTTTTTTTTTTTTTTTTTTTGACCTTTGGAGAAAATCCCCAAAATAGCAAAGCAGGACCAAAAAAAAAAAAAAAGAAAACCCTCAAGACCCAAACAGAGGGGCTGTAAAATGCAACAAAACATCATTTCTGCTTCGTGTCTTGTTAGATCCTATTAGAATAACGAGCAGAACTGGAGTGGAGGATGCTGCATTTGATGTAAAATTTGCTCCAACTCCTGTCCCTTCTTACAGATCCTGTCCTCGTAGTTTGACAGCAAGTACTCTGTTCGGTGCTGACACACACAGAGCAGGAGTTTAAACCTCCCAGTGCATGTTGGGAGCTCAGCGTGTGTGAAGTGTCAGACTGTCGGTTCAACTTTCATAAACCCTCTCTATTGAACACACACATACACACATATGGACTTGTCTCAGCTGGAATGGACTTGTCCTCGCAGCACTCCTTCACATTTCTTCTTCTCCTGCTCCGTGTTCCTGACATGGAGGCTTTGCTGCAGCTCAGCGAGCTCTAACAGATGGCGTAACCAAACCCAGATCTCTGCCCCACTTTCTCAACTGGTTTATAGTGACTTTTGTTTGTCTAACAGAGGCTTTCAAAGTGTGTGTGTGTGTGTGTGTGTGTGTGTGTGTGTGTGTGTGTGTGTGTGTGTGTGTGTGTGGCATATGACACACAGACGGGTCAGAGTTCTGTTTCCTGTTTGGCCTGCTGACTCTGAACATCGGCTACATGGAAATGCCTTCTCTCTTAGTCAGGAAGTAGCTTAATAATAGAGGCAGAAACCCCGGTTTTACTCCTAGTTACACACAGGTTGTTCTGATCAGATTAAGATTTTAAATTCAAATAGTTTCCTGTTTTCTTACTTTGGCTTTGGATACTTTTTTAATTTAATGCAATTGTGTTTAACCTCTGTAACAAGGACACACACCTTGTATGCAAAGTGGGCCACCTGGTCTTGTTGGCAGGACAAAGTCTCATTCTTTCCCTTTTTTGTTTTTATCACAAAGCAAAAAAAAGTTTCCCTGATTTTTGACTCACATTTATTGTTTTTCTTAATTATGTTACTGAATAAAATGGGAAAACTACAGAATTTACTCTAGTATTTATTTCTCTGTAAAAGTTCTAGATGTTTTACCTGGTGTGTGTGTGTGTGTGTGTGTGTGTGTGTGTGTGTGTGTGTGTGTGTGTGTGTGTGTGTGTGTGTGTGTGTGTGTGTGTGTGTGTGTGTGTGTGTGTGTGTGTGTGTGTGTGTGTGTGTGTGTGTGTCTGTGTGTGTGTGTGTGTGTGTGTGTGTGTGTGTCTAGCTTCATGAGTGGCCTCAGCTTAGAGAAATAGAGGTTAAGTCCAATGGGACTGATGAGCTAATGGCTAGTCCAATCACAGTCAATCTGACGTTTAAGATAAACGAGTAGTAAAATAAATGTATATTAATAAAATAATTACGTGGGTAAAATTTTAATGGTCTAAAATGTCAGATGTGCTTTTGTTACTCTGTGAGCTGATATTTTTAGAGGCTAGAGGTGAACAATTGCACAAAACACAATTTCAGACCTTTTTATTTTTAGATGAAAGACTTTGAACAGTTGGTTTGTGTTTCGCTCTCGGTTTCAGAACGTTCACGCCCATGATTCACAGTAACTTTCACAGCTCATGGACCATGTTTAATGATTTATTTGCCATCCATGAACCACAGTTCATCAGAACACACACAGACTGCTTTTGTTTAGTACATTATTAATTATCAGCAGATTGATGTCTGACTAACACAGGGTTTCCCTTACATAGGCGTAGCCGTGGCGGCCCGCCACGGCTGAAATCTTACCGCCACGCCTACAAGAGCCCAAGTTTTATTTATTTATTTAATTATTTTGCGCTGTTTCCCGAAGAAGCAGCAGGAACTACTATGTTGTCGCTTTTGATCACAGCCGGCGGGCAGCAAGAAGAAAGGAGCAGGCAGAGCAAGGTGCAGTTACAGCACAAGTTACTGAGTTTAAAATTAGAAAGGTAGCAGT